GAGAAGCCCAGCCGCGCTCCAGAGCGATGCTCCCGGCGCTTCTTGCTCGCCTCAGCAAAGCGGCCCTGTTTGAAGGCCACATCCGCAGCGCTCATGGGCTTGCATGACGCCAACGACAGCATCGTTTTGCCTGCACTCTGAGCTGCGAGATTCCTGATCGTGTGATCATTCAAATATGCTTCGTCCTCCTCTGTCCATTCCGTGATGAACTCTTCAGGGTTCACTGAACCTTGCTGAGCCACCCATCACCAATACTCCAGCCAACGTATGATTTCACTAAGCCGCTTCTCAGGTATTGCTCATCCTCCGCTGTCCACTCTGTGATAAAATCAGCAGGGTTCACTGCCTTTCCCGCCCGGAGAATCAGCTCGTCGCTCACACTTAGAGTGGCATAACGATTTGCGATAGGGGCTCTTAAATCGGCCTCGTCCTGAGCAGTCCACACCGTAATGAACTCGGCGGAGCTTACTGTGAGTTTAGACAGGAGCAGGATGTTGGAGATTGAGTGTGTTGCAAGCAAGTGGTGGTGGGGTGGTTGTATGCCCCCAACCCACCGAATGTGTTGCTTCTACTTGACTTCACTGCAGGTTTCGTGAAGTTGCAGATTGACTTCGAGAGACTTGCACTTCGGTGCCACATGGCAGCACAAGAAGAATCGAGACTCAGGAAGAATTCGATTCGGTGAAATTCGAGAGTCGAATTTCACCCCTTCGAAATGTTACTCGAACATTCGAGTGTACCGCGGTTCGAGGTTACTTGTGCGACTCGATGTTTGTTGCATGCTTTAAATCTGTTTGCTTTGTATTGCATGCTTCATACTGAAAATCAGAGTTTCCTATACACGGTTCAACTCGACACAAAATCCAGAGAGCTCCTATCCTACGTTCTAAGAGCACTAGCAAGCACATAAACGCATAGAACTCTCTCGTTACTTAGGCGAATCGCGTGTTTGACGGCTCGTTCGAAAGCCAGCAGTGTGCTCTATCGTTTAGTGCAACTCCCAGTTCCTGCAAAGTAGAGGAGAGTACTCTACAACACAGGAGCTGGTGCTGAGTTCAGCCGGTGCTGCTCTCAGCTGAGATTCATCAGCCGCCGTCCATTCGTAGAGGCAATCGAAGGAAAGCGGGTTGAGTGCAGGGCAGTCCAACCAGGTCGGTACCTCCCACAGGTACCTCGCTGCGTTTCCGAAGCACGTGGCAGCAGCAAGAGCAACAGCAACAACAATTTCAGGGTTTACTGACTCCATTCAAGCAACGGGAGCACATGGCGAAGTCTATGTGAGTGACTGAAAGAGCGTGTGAAGCAAACAAGTAGTGATTGAATAGAAATGGTCGTCAAGTGACCATTTCTACTAACACCAAGCCGTTGGTTCCCCCGTTAACGAAGGAGCCGTCGTTCAAGGGTTGGTTCGGCACCTTGGGGTAAAGCTTCGGCACCAGACTCGTTTTCTTCGCAATGATGCAAACGCGAGGCGGCCAGTGGGTGTTCCACATTGCCGCTCGCCTGACTGTTCCCGGTGCTTCCGAAAACGAATCTGCGGAAGCTTTGCCCTCGGTTTGATCATTTTGCTGCACGTTCACGAGGAGGACAAAACAACGACCCGGATTAACTCAAAGGTTCATACGCGCTCAAGCAGTAAAACACGGGCGAATGCGGGATCGCTTATGCGTGCTCGCGGAAGCGTTCTGCCCGCGGGGAGCAGAAAAAGTAAAATCCAATCGGAAGGCATGCAATTCGGGAGGCATCAACCCTAAAATTTTAGGGTTGAGGCTCCCGAATGGCATGCAGGTCGCGATGGGAATTTTTTTTTTTGCCTCGGGCAGCTCGCTTCCGCCCATGGGCGCGCCCGGTGGGTTCGAAACCCACCGGGCCAGGCACTCAGTGTCAGAATGTTGTATTTGTCTAGCCTGCAGTGGGGTACTCTATAGCGAGTACAGCCCAATCTAGGGTTTCCTATATGTACTCAACTGCTTGCTAGTGCAACCCCTCTTTCTTGTTCTAAACTTCTGCTTGCTATTCTGACACCCAGTGGATTCGAACCCACCAGGGCTCGGATGGACTCAAATCGGACGATTTAAAAGAGGTCGTGATTCTCGGAGTCCTACCTATGGTTTAGGTTTGGTATGTTCATACGGCGCGGCTCGGGAAAAACCCCGCCCACGCCTGGGGATGTACGGGGCGCAGAGGAATCAGGGGACGCGTGAGGCAAAGTGCGGCCCTCCAGGATCCCACCGGTTTTGGACCTTGCGCGGCCCTGCGTGGCAGAGTAAAACCCACCAGATTCCTACTGAAAACTCTACGACCCCCCAAAAACCGAAAGAACCCATGTGGTTCTTACGCGCCAATGCATGCATTGACGAACGCGATTGGTTGTCAACATTGACAGGTGGAAAAATGCGCGCCTGCAACTGCGCGTTCGCAAAACGAAAAGAGCGGGAGCATTGGTTGCGAGTTCACGAAAATTGTGTCGAACTAAATTTGCACAAAGATAGGGTTGGTAAGCGCGGTGCGAGAAGTGGTTCGGAAACACTTGGCGCGATTAGACAGGCTCCATGCTGGCTGACACGTGCAGCATTTTGAACGACCCTCACAGGTGTTGCTGTTCGCACGAGACGGGAACGCGGAGACGTGTGTTGCACGCCTAAGCCGATCCCGGTCATTACTCACAGCCTGCCCACATTTACGCTTTTCGCTCGCTAGTTGCACATCAAGCTCCTCCCTCTCTTGTCCCATTGAATTCAGTGGACTTAGCGAAACGCTAGTGTCGAGGGTCGCGGTTACAATGTGGGCCACGCTTGATGCACCGTGAACGCCCTGGTCGCGTCGTTCCTCAAGAACCGATATTCAATGCGAGAGGGGTAAATTTCACTGTTTGAGGTACACGTCCCGCTGTCGGAATCGCGTAGAGACATCGCACCATGTTGACGCACGCGTTACGTAGGAGAAGGGGCAACCTCGTACGATGCATGCATACAGTGAATCGTGTCGCGGCACCAATACTCCACGACTCCCTTAATGCCACTGGCAACACACCCATGCCCCAAATCCACACTGCGGAACCAGCTTGCGCTCCTGTGCAAAACATGTTCGCGCCCAATCCCACATGGAGCACCCCATACGTGCAGCCTGTAATTTTTGGGGCCCAAATGTTCGCGTTCAACCCACAGCAATTGATAAACGGGATTCATCTCGCACCGCGGTCACAGATTCCACTAGCGTCAGCTTCGATCGCGTTTCAGACCCAACAGGATGATCAGGACATGCATGGAGTATTCACGCCTCATCCCGGAACACAGAATGGCGGACAACACATCGAGTCCACGACCGGTCACACAAGCCAGCTCTTTAGGATGCCTGTTCGTGGCTACGTCGGGCTGCAATACGCGAATTTCGGGTTTAGGTACGGGTACATCGGCGTTCGACCAGACCCCATGGTGCACGCACGCGCAACTGTCGCGACCCCTCCTGTCGCTCCTGCAACCCCCTTTCCTAACGCGACTCCTCCGGAAATCCCACCAATGGTCCAAGCCCCGCCAGTCCCTATAGATCCATTAGTGGTTGGTGTAGACACACAAGCGCGACAACATGGCCCATCATCGAACGTGGTTACAGAGGGTCTAGGACGAGCGGAGACTGGTGGAGCGGGGTTGAATGCAAGTGCGCGTGCACATTCGCCTCCAATATGGAACGTGAACTCGTTGTTGCCAGGGAACCTGGACGTCCACATCCGCACCAAATGTTGCGAACGCGGGGGGTAGAGGTAGACAACCCCATGCGCACACGGGGAACGTGGGAAGAGGGACTGGTGCGAGAGGGAATGCGGGGAGAGGGGCTGGTGCGAGAGGGAACGTGGGGAGAGGGACCGGTGCGAGAGGAAATGGTGGGAGTGGGAACGCGGGGGGAGGGACCGGTGCGAGAGGAAACGGTGGGAGAGGGAATGCGGGGAGAGGGACCGGTGCGAGAGGAAACGGTGAGAGAGGGAACGTGGTTAGTGCAAACAGGGGGAGAGCGCCTGGGGGAACAGGCGACGGAGGGAGAAGGTACGAAAGTAACGCGAACGGAGGTACCGGGAACCAGCCAGTTAATAGGCCTCTTATAAGGAGACGGAGAGTGGATCTAGTGTCGGACACCGCCCGCAACGGGACCAGGGAGGGGGGGCGAGGGGCCGAGCGATGAGGATGATGACGACGACGATGATGATGACGATGATAGTGGCGACAAGTGGAATGACGATGACGAAAACTACTTAGATAACTCGTTGTCCGCGCTCGATGAGGAAGAAGCGGACGACAACGAACGGGTGCAAGGAACACGAACTAACAACAAGGTTCTGGTCGCGGATTGGAACAGGCTTGGTGTGGACGATACCCCTGCCACGAAAAGAGACATGTGCATGGGAATTCTCTACAGTCACTCTGACGCCACCCTGAAAAAATACCGCGGTTGGGCCAACGAGTACAAGCGGTTCATGGCGCACGAGTTGCCGAAACTTAAGGAGGGGAGGTTCAGGGAGGAGGCCGCGTTGAAAAACAAGAACCCGACGAGATTGGGGCCGCGCTTGGACAGAACATGGGTGGTAGCTGGAAGAGCGCAAAGGGCGACGAGCAGTGGTTCCACGGCCCCGAGACTAATCCGTGGCGCTTACGCAAATGCGTGACCTTCCTCGCGGACGAGACAGTTGCGCAGGCGGACAGGATGGCGACACTCAAGCGGCCCGACAATACATTGAAGAAGAGACGCCAGTGCACCCCTGCAATGCTGATGGGTCGTCTCAAGGCACTGAACCTGCTCATCAAGCTCGATGGGGCCATCTTCCGGAAACCCGTTCTGAACCTGCTGCGCGACTTTGCGGAGTGTCGCATCTGGGTCCGCGTTCAAGTTCGCGACCAGTACAAGCGTTTTATCGCGTGAGCATGTGCAATCTGGTAACGCGTGCGTGACCCTCACAACCGCGTCAACTAACAAGGGTACTATCATGATACTGGTTGTGCAGGGAACACATGGATCGCCATCGGGGCACGGCCGCGGACACGTACACCCCGGACCAGTTCAAGAAGATGATGCGGAAGACCAGCATGGACGCCATCTTGAGCAGTTTCACACTTGCCAAGAACGCCTACACGCAGGCACTGCATCGCGACCACTGCATCCGGACGATGACCGTGCTCGGTCATCACACTCTAGCCCGCGGGTGCATGATCATAAACTTTAAGCTGCCGGACATGATGATGTGGAAGCTCGGCGCTAAATCGGAGACTGATCCAGTGAGGGACGCGTTCATGTTTGTTTGCGAGTGCAGAACGGGCAAGACAAACAAGGACTTCTCGCTCAACTACATCTCGGCTGTGAGGCACATCGACTGGACGCTGTGCGCGGTCGGTGCTATGCTGTTGTGGATGCACTGGGTGTACGACTTGGTTCCCGTCCTCTACGACGACATAGCCCCCCCTCTCAACTTCTCGGAACCCTCGACGTGGTACGACCAGTACCTCTTCTTCCCTCTTCGCGTGGGTAACGAGAAGCAGATACCGCCCACGACTCATCACGATTGGGCGACGAAGATACTGGACGACGCGGGAATCACGTGCTCGCGAGTGGTCCACGCGACCAGGGCTGGTGGGGCGCAGCACGCGTCCGCGGACGGAATGTCTTCGGATCAGCTGGCAAGACTGGGGGGATGGCGCTTCATAGACGTGATGACGAAACACTACCTCACCACTATTCCGAAGGAGGTCGTGCTGCTGAAGGCGGGATTCACAGGGGTAGACGGTGACTACTACTTGGGTCGCGCAAAAGTTTCGGTGAGCGAGAAGCTGATGAAGCTACTGAGGGAGCACATTTTCCCATGGGCCGTCCCTGACAAAGGACAGAAACAGGAACGTTTGGGCCGCGCACCATTCTGTTAAACAACCACGAGCATTCCTCCTAAACCCTCTGCCACCGCGTTGCTTGCTGCGTTGTTTTGCATGAACAGTGCATGGATTACAACCGGAAGATGGTCAGCGAGGACAAGGCGGAGAAGCAGGACACCACGGGGCTCAACATACTGCAGGAGCTGGACGGCGAGGCTAGGATGGCGGTCGTGCAAGACCTGGCCATGTATTACATTCACCAGCCGCGACACCCGTACGTGGTCGGGAACCCGCTATGCCAGAAGGAGGAATTCACGTCATGGGCTGCAGATGTCTCCTTGGCGAATCAACGGGCCATCGTACAGCGTAACACACCTACGCTGATTAGAGGCGTGGTGAGTAGTGCTTGGTCGCGTTAGTAATTAGGTTGTATGTCAATGCCCAACCATCACACGTTCGCTCGCGCTTTTTGTCCATGCAGGAGGTCGGTACCAGAATGGACGCGCAGCACCAGGTGACCACTCTCACGGAGTACCTGACCCGTTCACAAGCGGACAACACCAGGCTCGGGCTAGAGTTGGTCGCGAGTCAGAAACGGGTCACAGAGCTCGAGGGGGAGTTGGCAGATCGCAACCGAAAGCTGGCCGCGAAGGACGAGCGCGTGAACGAATTGGAGGCACAGCTGTCGCGTCTCAGCGTGAACGGCTCAGAGCCATCTCCTAATCCAACTCCGGCATGCCACCAAGCAGCCGCTCCTGCGACCGCAACCAACACAACATCCACCGCACGGATGCCAAAAAGGAAGCCCGCAGAGCAGACCAGGGAGCAGACGATTCTAAACGCGATCATGCTACCATGGATCAAAGCGACAAAACCGTCGGATGGATGGAAGCTGTACAAGTCCGTGCATCCGCTGATCTTGGAGAGCCCGGAATCTCTTATGGCGCACCGCGGAGCACCAACACAGTTGGCCGAGCTCTTTGGAAAGGATGAAGGCGGACAGAACGCGATAAATCGTGTGAAGCGGGTAATGGAATTCATAGCGGACAGGGTGGAGCACGGATTCGGGCTTGATGTAGTACTCGAAAAGCTGGACCGCTTATCAAAGAGTGTTGGCATTGCGGGCCTCTCTGAAGGGACCGCGATAAAGAAGAAGATTGTGGATATGGGTCTAAGCAAGCTCAAGAAGGGGTCACCTGCTGAGGTGCAGTTGCGTGTGAAATGGCTTCTTGTTCGCGAACATCTCATTGACGCCTCTCTTCCCGCGTCCGAGTTCACGGTCGCTTGGCCACAGTATTGTAGACAGATGCCAACACTTGAATATTTTTTTGCCGCTATCATGATCGCGTTAATTGATGTATAGGTTTGCCCTTATATCTAGACTGTTATATACTGATGCATGCTCGTGTTCTCATTTTCATGGTGTGATACTGTTCGCTGAAACCATTTGTTGTAAGAGATTAGGGTGAATCGCGATAGATGTTTATCGCTTAACAATATGGACCGCCGCATGCGAATGTTTGCGGACACGTATGGCAGTGTTCGCGGAAGTAATGAATGCAATAACATATAAAGACCTTTCTCATAATCTTGAAAACCGTCCTCCGTCTTTGCCATGGAGTGATCGCGTTACTCGACTAAGGAGTATATGACTCAGGTCGGATTTGTTTCAAATGTCCACAGTATTGACTCACGCAACGCAAACAGACACGCGCACACACTGTCTCCTACACGCACAGCAGAATCCACCACGAGTAGAACTCAAGCAGGGTGGATTGGCTACACACAAGGCTACCTAAGTTGCATTCACCCCCGCTTCTTCGCGAACTTGTGATCCTTGGGCATGGCAAGGTAGAAACCCTTGGACTCCAGTTCCTTCCCTGCAACCCTGCACTCGCACCAGGTGATGAGCACATCCACTGCCTCGCGTGCGGCCATTTCGACGTGCCTGACATCATTGAACTGCGCCCCAAGCTCGTTCACGACGCCAGATACTATAGCGGTTGCGACCTCCTTCGGGTCCTCGTCTGCGGCATTCTCGCGGACGCGGCGTTTCTTCACAGCAGTGAGGACGAAACCGACAACCGGGGGGGAAGATTTTCCTGCGCGGACCAAAACAACCAGCATTTTGCGCGGCCACGTATCCAGAATCCGCTGCAACCTTGACGGTTGCCCCGTGCGACACTTCCCACACCATTGCAATTGCGCAACCGACCGCGCCAGCGTAATCGGTCGGCTCAACATTGCCGATTTCCACCTCCTCTGATGCGGCCTCCTTCCCAACAACCGCGGCCCATGCGATCTCGTTGGTGATGCTGGTTGGCGGCTGAGTGAGCCCTCAAAAGACCTTAAACATGTGATCCCACCTGCCATACAGTGGGCAAAACAAGCATAGACGCGGTAATATTATCTATCGCAGACACGCGAAAACCATCCTCAAATGGGAGAACATGATCAAGATATCGCTTCCACACAAGGGGTGGTTAATCTCACTTGTCCTTGGTGGTCGTCAGGTTACGGAGCCACATCATGATGAAAAGGTCGGTGTGTAACTGCGCGGCCGCGGACAGGTCCGGACCCCACTGCCGGAGCTGCTTGCTATCAGGATAAGACCGGGGTCGACCTACTGGTCGTACGGCATCAACGCGACCGTGGTAACATACTGCATGTCCTCGAGGGGGCCGTGCCCAAGCCAACGTTTTTTCCCACCCAAATGCAGTTCGAAAACCTTGCCTGGGCCAACCCAGGGAGGGTCGCAAATGCCATATCCCCTACGCTTGGTGCCCGTTTCGCCGCCGATGACGCCGCCGATTTCGCCGCCTATCACGCCCGATGTGGCTCCATCGCTATAAACCTCGACTGCGGTTTCATCTCCTGACTCACCCCTGTTGTCTCCCGGCCCAACCCACATCATCACGAGATCCTCCAGCTCTGCGTCCACATTGTCGTCATCGATGGTCACTGCGGGTGAGGGCGGCGGCTGCTTCTTGGCGCCCCTGCCGCGTTTCTCCGACTTGGGCTCAACCGCGACTGGGATCGGCACTGCAGAAGCGCCCGCGCTAGGGCCATGCTGTCCTGTCGCGGCGGCACAAGGTGCAGGGGCGATCGGGGTGTCCGGTGCATCCGCCGACTTGTGTTTTGCATTGCCCGTTGCAGCCGGTTTTTCCTCCAACGGGCGCGGTTGCCTGCGCAGTGGCTGGTGGTTTTCGGCGTGGCATCAGCTGCGGGAATACAACGCGAACTAGAACCCGGTGGAGCAGGCTGCCCTGCACCACGCCCACCAGCGCCCCAGTTCTGCTTCAGCATGTCTTGCACACTCGGGTTGCGAACCTCGGCCGCTGCCGCAGGACCTCTCTGACTCTTCGACTTACGTTGGTTATCTGCCCTCGAGGCCGCGACCCGCTTCCCATTGTCAGTGTCACCGGGTTCAGCCGTCTCGGTCGCGTGCGGCTCTTCCGCGTCCGCTCGAGGCGGCGCACTCCCTGAAACAAGGGCGATGAGCGTGTTCAGGGCGTGTGTGACCTCGCTAGTGGTGATGGCGCGCTCTGCAGTGGCGGAGACCGCGGACGACATGTTGTCGATCTTCCGCGACACTTCGTCTGTCAACTTCTTCTGCGCCCCTTCCATCGAGTCGGTCACCACCCCCTCCATCTTTCCCAACCTCGTGTCAATGCGATTCAGGACCAACGCCTCCTAGTTCCTTTGGTCCCGAAGGGCCGCCCTTTCCACCGCGAGCAGCTTCGCCTCCCTCTCCAGTGTCTGCGCCGCGTTCAGGGACTGCCGCTGCGCCTTCTCAACGACAGCCGCGAGCTCCTCATAACTTATTATCGCGATCCCACCATCGCGAGACTCAAGGCGCTTCTTCGGCTGGACAATCATGTGAGACTTTGACTCCAGCTCGCAGTCGAGTCGCAGAATCTCCTCAGCCAGCTTCTTTGATGGCAAAGCGGCCAGGGCCTCGAATTCTCGCGGACCACGAACAGGACTCTTGCCCCCGAACTCACCGGAGGAACCCACGCTCCAAGCTCTGGGGGTCAGATGCTGTGCGAGCCGCCTGATGCTCTTTCCGGAGGTTGTGGGCCTACTGGCAGGCGCGGGCGCGACCACGGGAGCCTCACCCTCCTCCTCACCCGACGCTTCCAGCTCCACATCCCCATCGCGTTTGCTCTTCTCAGCCCCACCCTGAACATCAAACACATCCGTTGAGTCGTCCCCGACCACGACTTCCAGCCACATCGATCGACATCTCGCGCTTGCCAACTGGATCGCGTCCTCCAGCACCCTTACCTGCGATAACCTCTCCATCATCGTCACCAAAGCGGACCGGCCCTCCAGCGAGCGCGAGTACCACGTGATCTGCAACCTGCGAACCCTTGGCATGCTGCATCTTCCCCGCACCACTACCGTGAGCATCACCTCCTTGCTTGGGAAGACTCATCTTGACGCTCAAATTGAACGCGAGCTCCTCAGCGGTGCGGTACGCCTCGTGACGCAACGCGTTCAGGGTCCGAACGTGAGGCCTCTGATATTGCGGCCCAGACTCTTGGGCAGCCACCTCGTCAAGGTCCTGGACGATCTTTTAAAAACGTGTACATGCTCGCGAGGCTGCAGCATAAGCCCTTCCACAAGGCCGCGTCCTGAAAAAACAACACGGTATGTGTTAGAGCTCGCGGTCAGCACGAACACGTGAATAAACGAGCGCTTACCAGATCTAGGAGACGAGTAGGACCACCTAGCTGCCGGGACCTCTTGCACTGAATGGAGTCCTGCGCGAACGCCTTGTGAACGCGACCCTGAAACCACCTACACATTGTCGAGGTAGACACGTGAAAAAGGGGCTTGACATGGTACATGGTCAACACAGGAAACCAGAACGCGATACTTACTCGACAATCTCATCCATCGCGTCAAGATGCTCCTCACCACCGGGTGGTACAGCAACGCGGACAAACCGCGTATCCCATACGTCGTCACTGCCAATCGACAGGTGGTCTGGGCAAAGGAGCAGGAGCATGCTCGCGTTGGAGCCCGTCTTGTCGCCCAAGTTCCTGCAGTGTTGAACAATGACCGTGTTCACACGCACTGTCTGGAAAGCATGCCCAGGCCGTAGACGAGATACTCACTCGGACCAGATGCAAAACACAACCATACTGCACTCCATGCCGGCGAAAGCGTTGACCGCGTCATCACCACCCGCAACAATGTCCGCGACAACGTTGGTCTTCACTATCTTGGTGCGCTCGTGCAACTCCTTTGACAGAGACTTCCGGACAACCACGCTGTGCGAGCAAAATACGAGCGAATTGTGAACACGACCACGCTTTTTAATCGGAAAGGAACGCGAGCATACTTCCACACGGTCGTGGTACTCACATCACGACATAGCGGTCCTATGCATACACTGCTTGATCGTAAAATCCGCGTGGAGACGAGATGGAATAGGGTCTGACGCGACCATACCAGGTAACGAAGTCGAAGAAGGGGGCCGTAAACTGATGCTTATCATCGGACAGGCACCTCCACTGGTCCGGGGGAAGCTCCACGGTGGCGCCCGCAACAGAGATTATAGCCGAAAAGGACGCGGCCGCTTTAGAACCGGATCTCGATGCCTTCAGCTCGCGAGCCATGACGGGCCCGCCTTCTAGTTTGATCAGAGGGGCGAGGAAGCGAGGATAACTAACCGTGAAGTCCTACAATGCGAACGCGGTACTACTGGTACTGCAGGCTACATGCGAGCTAACGCGGGCACAAGAGGGTCAGGAGGCTAGGTGGGGGCGGAGAGCTGAAACAAATAATATATCTGAAGTTGGAGGATGAAAATGAGCACCAGCAACCCTGGTCGAGAACCTAAGAGGGGGCTGGGGTGCAGCAGGAATGGGGCCGCGCGGTCACCCTGCGCGTGCATGGGAACCCGTGGAACCTGTTCGGGCCTGTCAAGGGGGACGTCCCCCCCGTCATGCATGCGAGTGTAACCACGTCCCGCCAGGTAGCACGCAACCCGCGAACACCATGCATTTGGTAGAAAATTGATGTTCATGAATTTATTCAAGTCTAGTGCAAAGTTGCCACATTATATCTAATGACGAGCCAGTAATATGCAGGTGCAATCCCCCGTATGTTGTGTAATTATAGTGTGATATATGTTGGGCCACAACGAGGTACTTGAAACACCGAAGCCAAGCCTCGCATGGAGGCCGATGCAAAACATACAAACAAGAGAAAATGTATTCACAAGTCCTACGAATGGTGCAGAGGGCACACGCGCACCATAAAAAGGGAAAACAAATTTACAATGAAATAAATAACACCAGTCCACCTTTCAACAGGTGCAAGAGGTGTGGGTGGGGTGAAGGTCACTTCACGTCCGTGCTGACTCATGTCAGCATTTCACTGTCTGTGTCGCTGAGCCCTCTGCAAGAGCGTCACTGTCAGCAATCACCAGCGATGCGTCTTCTATCCGAACAGGCACCGGCAACATTGCACGTGCATGCTCTGCCGCCTTCTGCCCCTCCTCCATTCTTGGTGACACAATGTCGGTCGGCACGACTCGGCAGTATATGGGGATGATGTGCAGAGGTGCTTCCACATCCTCCAGCCAGGTGGGGCCCTCAAACGTGTTGGACGGGTTCAGCAGCTCGCACCATGTGCCTCTGGTGAAAGGGTGACAGGGGGAGGACAGAAGAAAGATTGAGCAAATTGGGGTAGTGGTGAGTTGTTCACCTATCAATGAGAGTGCTAGGGAAAGGGAGCGGGGGGGAGAAGTCTAGAGGGGTTAGCATAGCAGGGAGGATGGAGAAGAGAAGATGCGCTTTCAATCAACTCACTTGGGGAGGTAGACGTCGCGCTTCTTCTGCCCCTTGACCACCACGGGGGCCACTATGATGTCATCGCCTATCGCAAACTGATCGTCTATGGGGAAGGTCTGGGGGGTGAGAGGGGATGGATGAGGAGAGGGAAGCAGATGGAAGCGAGGGTTAGAGGAACAAGAAGATCCTGAAAATGAGAACAAGCAGGGGCTCATGCATAGATGCTCAAGATCCGTAAGACTTCTCTAAAAGAATGCAGGTGTGCTGCGCAGATGAGCCCAGCACGTGTGGTGAAACGAGGTGCGGTGAGGTAAGGTGAGGCGAGGTGAGGTGGCGGCATGCACCTCAGCATCGTCAGGGTCGAGCCACCACATGGGGCGGCACACGGGGGCGAGGGCCTTGGAGCATGCATCCTCCATGAGGCTGAATATGGTGCCCGCTAGCTTCTCCCTTAGCTGCTCTCGTTGCAATGGCAGGGAGGGGAGGAAGGGGAGGGTAGGGGAGGGCGAGGGGGGGAGACGAGGGCGAGGGGGGGAGACGAGGGCGAAAAAGTTGGTCTACAGACACCACAGCCATGAACCATGAAAGAGAAGATGGTGTGTGCAAGCCTCCCACTCTCACTCGCACCCATCCCAGGCCCCACCACCCCACTCAAGCACAATACTACTTTCACCCTCACCAACCCCTGCCTCCAGTCTCCCCCCCCCCTCACCTCGAGCACAGCCTTGCAGAGCCTGTCGGCCTCCTTGCTGAGGTCCCAGGGGGCGATGGAGAACTGCATGGCCGGCATGAGCGCGTTCGCCTGCGCCCACCGCACCAGCAGCTCCACGTCCGGCTTGTTGCCAAAGTACGCATTGCCCCCCACCATGTCGGGTAAACAGAACGGGTACCCTAGTATCCCAGAGGTCAGCAGTGTGGGAATCACACTCCTTAGCCCGTTGCCTGAGCTCCACGTGGAAAACCGATCCCCCATTCTGGTTAACAGCGGCACGCTGCTGGTCTTGTGCCCCGTCCGCACCTCGGCGTAACTGAACTGAGATGCCACCTCCTGGACGTACAGCCTTGTGTATTCCACGGGGGTGACGATCGGCTTGTGCGTGACGAAGTGCGGCGGGAGGAAGCAGGGCTCGCCCGCGTCGAACTTAAAGCCGTCGATGAGGTAGTCGGCCTGCAGGCGCTTGAGGCGGCCCACGAACCAGGCCACTGCTTCGGGGTTGGTCACGTCGAGCGCTGCTGCTGGCACGGGCTGCCACCACTTGAAGAAGCCCGGCTTGAGACCCTTGGTGGCCGGGGCGCTGGATGAAATGAAGTAGCCTCTGAGGGGTCGGGGGAGGGGTGGACGGTGGTAGAGAGACGTGTGAGAACACAAGTCGGGATGACAAATGGTATGGATGAAACAACTCAAACAGAGGGGCTGCAAGGTGTGACTTGCTCAGGAGCACGGGTACTGGAACTTACTTGGGCGCTCCTTCCTGGTAGGCAGCGGAAGCTTCCTCCACGAAGGGCATGATCCAGAGCGTCACCTTAAAGCCCAATGCGTGCAGCATTTCCACCATAGCCTGCGGAGGGAGAGCGCAGAGGAGAGAGATAGGAGCACACAGTGGAGAGGAGGAGGATAATTATGAGAGGGACACGAGAGGCGCATTGGGTATCTAAGGGGGACAGTCATGCAAGCAGGCAATCATGCAAGCAAGCAATCATGCAAGCAAGCAATCATGCAAGCAGGCAATCATGCAAGCAGGCAATCATGCAAGCAGGCAATCATGCAACCAAGCAGAGCAGCAGCACACTTCAGACCACCACACGGCTCCTGCTCACCTTGGGGTTGGGGAACTTGACAGGGTCGAAGTCAAAGTCCCCATACTTGGTCTGCCATTTATCATCAATCTCCATGACGGACCGGGACAGCCCGCGCCCCACGATCTCATGGGCGAATTGCTCCACCTTGGCCTGCGTCACGTTGGCATGGTACCGCGCCCACGTCGTCCAGATCGGCGCATCCACCATCTCCCGCGGGGGGGGGTTGGCCGGGCGGGGAAGGGTCTCGAGCGCGGCCTCGGCTGCCTGTTTCACGTTGGCTGTGGCGCAGAGAGCGAACTGGAGACTCAGGCGCTGGTCTGAAAGGGTGATGGGGGGGTTGTGAGGGATGAGAAGGTGAGGGGTGAGGGGATGAGAGGGCAACGGTCCTAATCCACATGTGCCCAGATTTGCCCAGATCTGCCCAGATTTGCCCAGATTTGCCCAGATCTGCCCAGATTTGCCCAGATTTGCCCAGATTTGCCCAGATTTGCCCAGATCTGCCCAGATTTGCCTGGAGGCACCCAGGGAAGGTGAATATACAAGCCACTATACAAAGCTCACCTTTGTCCTGCTCCTCCTTCCAGAGCGCAGGCATCCAGTCCCTCAGCGGGTGCAGCATCTCCACTGTGCGGTAGCTCGCCCGCGCCTGCAGGCGCAGCATGCCGTCCCCCGTACCGTTCTCCACCGCTGGCAGCGACTCGCGCGCCAGGTTCTGCACGCCCGTGCCCCAGGAGCGCTGGATCCACCCGTCATGTGGGCCCACTTGGGGCGCGTTCAGCCCCACGTGCAGGAAGGGCGTGTCCGGATTGGCCAGCACGAGCAGCCCACGTGAGGTCATCCATTGCGCGGCGAGCAACGTGTTGTTGCCGTTTGGGCCGTTGTCAAAGGGGAAAAAGGGACCCATCTCGAACTGGCCGCGGTTGAGCGGCCAGTGCTGGCGCATGTAGTGGCCCCCGCCGAACCAGTACCCCGCTGTGCGCATGTCCAGCTCCACCTCCGCCATCCCGCGCGCCTCCTGCTCCGCGTGCTGCGCCACGCTGAACTCGCACACGAACCCGCATGCCAGCTTCTGTTAGAGGGGGTGCATGTATGGGGGTGGGCACAGAAGGGAGGGATGAGCAGGGGATTGAACAGTGAAGGATACGTAATGCCCGTGTCACTGGGCAGGAGGGGTGGGAGCGTGGTAAGCTAACCCTGTTTCAGAAGGTAAGGTCCTCACCTTGGCCCAGGAGGGGTGGGCGGCTCACCTTGGCCCAGGAGGGGTCGGAGGCGGGGTTGCCGTGGTCGCGGTCGAACGGCAGCGCCGCCAGATCGCCCTTCTCCACGCCCGCGGGGTTCGCCGCCACCACGCGCAGCGCAGAGCCGTTGATCCACTTCAGTTGGACGGCCCCGATCGACTCGTCCAGCACGGTGATCTCGCACGACTCGATGTAGTCACGGCAGGTGTCCGGGAGGGAAACTCTCCCCGCGGTGATGAGTATAGGCACGCCGTCCTTCACGCGCCGCAGCTCCATCAGCCCGTCCGCGCGCAGCCGCAGATGCTCCGCTCCGTTAAAGATGTCCACTCTGCCCGGATGCACTTTAACGCGTACACGCTCGTCCAGGCCGGACAGGCTGCCGGTGCTGCTCACGCGGCTGAACCCTCCCTCGCAGCTCACATCGTCCCCGCTGCTGCTGATGCTGCTGCTGAGACTCACTGCGTCGTACAGCCGCTCCTCTTCCTCATCCTCCTCGTCTTCTGTAAAGTAAGGCGCGTTGTCAGCACCGCCAACAACGCCGCCAGGAGCGGGGAAAAGCAGGGAGGGGGAGGAGAGCACGTTGATATCAGCGTAGGGAGTCAGGAGACCACCTAGTGAATTAGCTAGGCCCCAAAGCCCGCCGTTGGTGTTGCTGCTGCTGCCTTGGGGCTTATCGGTCGGTACTGCCACGGCTTTCAAGGGCTTACCGGTTCCGCACACGTTGCACGGCCCGCGCTTGGCTGACCGCCGTCTGGCCGATCCGTTGGGACCGTTTGAGCCTTCATGATGACGTCGTCCAGCTGGCAGCAGGCCCGCCACGTGGCAGTCGCATTCGAGGACGGTGACGGATTGCTTGCTGGTAACGGGTTTGTCTTCTAGCGAGGTAGAAGCTGTAGCGTCGGCGAGTATAGTGTATATCGGGTACGGAGGCGGCTTCCGTTGCGTCCTGCCGCCGTAGTATTGCTTCAGGGCCGGTCCGAAGATTAGTCTCTTGGACGGCCGGCAAGTGAGCGAGCCACGTGAGGCAAGAGTCGACGGCTGATTGGAGGCGAGCCGAAGCGTGCAGCTCGGACGGCATGTCACGGACGCGCACGCTGACGTCATCCGTCCCGGCCCGCGTTTGCTTGAGCAGTTGACGCAGGCCCGTGTGAGGTTGGTAACACCGGGAGCGCGAATGGCGGCCGATATCGCCATGGCGGATTCGAGGGAGGGAGCTGAACAGGAGATCTGCGAAAAAGTGGCGGAGAGAATAGGTGCTGCTAAGAAATCTAACGATAATAAAGTGCTAGCGATATTAGTGAAGTCCGTGTCCTCTTGAGTAGGACGACGGTCTAAAGCTGATTCTCGACTTGGCGCCAGATTGGAACACGGAATGATACGATCGCTGAATGCTTGGAGAGAACTTGATCATTGGTTAACGGAGATAGAACGGGAAATACGGGAACAGAAGCCATGATCATACGAATTTATGAACCAAGCTGATCGATCACAATGGTTGTTGAATGCCGTGCAAGTGCCGATTCGAAAAGTATCAGTGAGTTAGTGTTGGTCGTGCAGCTGCTCTTACGGCTTCTGAGGCCGAGAATCAACGGAGGAGTGGTCCGTGGCGGCTCGCCAGCGCGTCAGTGGAAGCTGCGAATGGTGGGAGAACCATTCAAGCCGCCATAGGCACACGCCGAGTCCGTCAGAACCACTCCTGGAGAAAAGGTGTTCATCAGCTGTTGGACATTTGACATCAGCCCGACCTCTTATGTCATCAGCTGGCTCAAGGATTGAGTCACGGCGAGAGAGGGAGGGAGGAGGGAGGAAACGGTGGAGTTGAGTGAGTTGAGGGAGGAGAAGGGAGGGGGCTCCAGTGGATAGAATGGAGCGGAATTGCCGAAGGTCTGACCGCTGCTGACATCGATGCTGACGTAAAGCCGCGTCATGCCTCGATATCGCCACCTCAATTGCTCCGGGACCTCGAGAGCTCCAGCGTGCCTGCAGTGGCGGACGTGGCCTAGAGGGTTGTTAGGATGAGGGTGAGCTTGCCAGCTGGCGCGGTCTGGTTTGTTCCTTTCGGTTTTCGGTCGCCTTGGGTTGGGAGGGACTCCAATTGTCGAGTTGAATTGGGGATAGGGGCACATAATCTCGCAGACGTGCCCTGGAGTGGTTCTCCCCCAAGCCAATGTGTGTGGTGGTGGTGAATTGATCAGTTTGTGGTCGGCCAATCAGGATCCCCGAATGAACCACACTGAAATTCTCCGGCCCGAATCAAAACGTTGGAAACTGAGAGGGCTGATCGCACCGCGTTTTCAGTGACCAGTAAAAACCAAAAGATCATCCACATGTACCTGCACTGTACATCTCGAATGCAAGCTAGGCCGCGGTGAACGACGCAACTCAGCGTCAGGGAAGCGATACTCCAGTCCAGCGTGTATCAGATGTGCTGGCAGCTGACACATTTCGACTATATTGCGGGGAAAAGACACCATCAACTCCCTGAAATATCTTCCAAGCTGCAAAACTCTCCCACAGCATGAAGTGTTGAAATAGTTGTGTTGTGTACGTTAGTGCATGATTCTCACTTACATGTACAAAATTCTAAGCTAGTGCATGATTCTCCCTAAAAGAATGGGAAACTTCAATTTTTGCTCAATACTCCACATGTTTATGTCTGACCTGTATCCCTAGATGCCCCTCGCCAAGGAAAACATGCTCTTTAGCATGTGGTTTAACAGGTGGTTATTTTATTTCAAAATGCATCATTCGGGATATCAAACATTGGCACAAGATGTCAATAAACTGCTCAGTGCATGCTTGTGCTGGAGCACAGACTGAGCCACACGCTAACCACAAAATACAACCTATACCCCCTACGCAAATAGCTGCAAAATTGTCGTCACACCACACACAAGAAAAAACAACAAAAAAGGAAGTGTACTGTCTGACCTAGTATTGTACTGCCACTCTACAGGGCAGGTGCTTGCTAAGGTCTCTACAAGCCAAGTCAAGCGACACACACTACAAAACAGACGTTAGAGAAGCCAGGGCAGCAAGAAACTGGCTCTGTCTCCCTATGCGTTGTCAACGGACGATGTGGCGGTGCTGGTGGCGGTGCTGGGGGTGGGCTTGGGGGGCGAGGGTGGTGCAGGTGCTGCCTCAATCGCTGCCGGGGTGGAAGGGGAGGCTGGTGACTCAACAGCTGACTCTGCAGCAGCAGCAGCAGCAGCAGCAGCAGCAGGGGCAGGGGCAGGCACATCAGAAGAGGGTGCGCTGCTCTCAGTTGGCGTTTCTGTCACCGTTGCGCTCCTAGCTTCATCAAGGCTAGCATCAATTGTTTCTGCTCTCGCTGCTGCTGCTGCTGCTGCTGCTGGCGCTTCTGCTGCTGCTTCCAACACTGCTGATGATGGTTCCACTGCCGGTGCCTCTGCTGCTGCTGATGCCTCTGCTGCTGCTGGTGCCTCTGCTGCTGCTGATGCCTCTGCTGCTGCTGGTGCCTCTGCTGCTGCTGATGCCTCTGCTGCTGCTGGTGCAGCTGCTTCAGGTGCAACAGCGAGACTGCCGTTGTCAGTCTGAACCGCCACATCAGCAGCTGAGGTGGCAGCAGCAGCAGGTGCACTGGAAGCCTCAGGGGCCTTGCTCTCGCTCCCCCCCTCACCCTCTCCATCTGTGAGCTGCTTGGCGGCCTTGGGTGCTGCAGAGGCAGAAGAGGAGGTGCCGAGGGCCCACCCTGCTGCTGAGGCTGCAAGAGAGAAGGGCGTGAGCAGTGCTCTGCCAGGCACCAAGGGAAAGAAAAGGGCCCAGCAGTGGGGGGGCAGGGTGAGGAAGGGGGAGTGGAGAGAGCAAAGGACGAGAAGAGAAGGAATTTGGAAATGAGCTAGAAGGGGCAGCAGGCCTGGCTTAGAGCAAGCCGCAAACCAAACTAGAAGGGCGAAGGCGACAATGGTGGCTATCTGGAACGATGGAGGTACCAATAAATGGTGGATGGGGATGGGGATGGGGATGTTCAAGGTGCTGTTGTTTGACGATGGTGTTGATGTGAACACTTCAGGCAGGTGCCTTTTGTAGTCACAAGGATTCTTTAGGTTGTAGAGTCGACAAAATAATAAAAATGATGCAGATATGCATGTTCTACTTAGCACGCCTGCCTCTGCCTCACATTGCCTCCCTCACTCACCACATGTCCCCTCCACACACACTCACCGCACATCCCTCTGGAGGTCCTCCTCGGTCTCGAACATCTTCACGCAAAGGTAGATCAGTTGCACCACTGCCAGCACTCCCAGCAGCTGCAGCGCTGCCAACATGCCCAACACACACCATACTCTCACACACATGCACAGCACATTCCCTCCCATCACTCACAGCACGTCCCCTCAACACACACCGTATTCCCTTTACTCACCGCACGTCCCGCTGAAGGTCTTCCTCAGTCTCGTACGTCTTGACGCGCAGGTAGATCAGCTGCACCACTGCCAGCACTCCCAGCAGCTGCAGCGACCGCTCCCACTCTGGTAGTGGTGCAGTGTGATTCGGAGGGGGGCATATTGGTGCAAGGGGGGTTGGGGTGGTTGAGAGTGGTGGAGATGGGTTGGGGAGCGGTACAGATGAGATATGCTGCTTTGATTAGTGCTTTCAAAGATGGTTACATGCAGCATCCAGCACGAATGCATCGTGCCACCACAATTGCAACAGCAAACAAGTGCATGAGAGCAGAGCATGGCACAGTAGTCGTACCAATGAGGGCGAAGATGCCGACTCCAGTGCCCTGCAGGGAGGGTAGGGCAGGGGTGGAGGGACAGAACAAGGACAAAGAATAACAATGGTGTGTTGGTGCATGGTGCATGGTGCATTGTGCATAGTGCATGGTGCATGGTGCATGGTGCATGGTGCATTGTGCATTGTGCATGGTGCATGGTGCATTGTGCATTGTGTATGGTGCATGGTGCATCGTGCATCGTGCCATGGCAACACGTGTTTCTCAGCATGCACATGGCAACACGTAATTCAAAGGAGACACCAAGAGAGGGAGAATGGCTCAGCAGCTAAAACAAGGATGACTCAGTAGCAGAAATAAGGGAGGGGAAGTGACAAGAAGCACAGCAAGCAAGGGAGGGGAGGAACGGGTCTGGGGGGGAAGGGAATGTCGAGCAGCACAAGCGAGGGGAAGGGGAAGGGAACTCTCGAGCACCATGGTGGCTTTTGAGTCGACTCAAAAGTCAGCAGCACAAGCGGGGGGAAGGGGGAAGGGAACTCACGAGCACCACGGTGGCCACTCCCAGGGGCGTGGGCTGCACGTCCTCCACAAACGCCTCGTACTCCTGCCAGGGTGCCACGTGGCAGGGAAAGACATGACAGGGTGCCACGTGGCAGGGCAAGACATGACAGGGTGACACGTGTCAGGATGACACAACCCGGATGCTGAACATAAGAAAGAGAACCGGTTGTGAGGCATCTCAATCAAACACTGGGGGAAGAAACAAATTCTGGCAGCATGGGTGTGAGACTCAATTGACTCCACCAACAAGCACACCCCATTCCTTTGTTTCTGAACAGACTTATCTGTCAGGCTTGGCCCATCGCATCCTCCTTTAGACCTAAAGGAGGGCAAGAGGTAGGGAGGGAGGGAGGGAGGGAGGAGCGCTCACCTTCTTGAGCACTTCAGCTGCTCGCTCAGGCTCGTTGGGCTTCACTCGCAGCCCACTGGCCACCCACGAGTCAAATCCGCCGACCATCACGAACGAGCGCTGCCATTGCAGTCACACGCACACACACATGCACACACACATGCACCGCACACACAGAAGCACACAGGCGCGTCAAGGACGAGATTGCGAATGGAACGGCCCTTGACGCGCGTCAACAGCCTCACAGGCACTGCCCCGCCACCAAAAGACAAGAGAGAAAACAGCAAGTGCGTGTGCGCATCATGGGGTGTGCACCATAAAAAGAACTGCGTAATGGGAGCCCCAGAGGAACCATTAGGTGCATCCCGTCATGTGTCATTTCATCTGCAATTAAAGGCAGTGCGCATTGCAGCAGGCAAGCAAGAAACCTGGGCAGCGTTCAGGAAGGCATTCCATGTGACGTGCACATCCATAGTGCACACCTGTCAAGTCTTGAAACCCCAGCCTCAGGTGCCTCAAGTCTTGAGTCGTCAAAGCGTCTCAAGCCTAGAAGTGAGGTGAGTGCTAACCACCCTGCCGGCAAGCACCTTAAAGCCCAGCCCACTCTGGAGAGCCTATCCGTGAGGCACCTCACAATCGGGTTCTTGCTGGCCTGTCAAACAGTAACTTAAAGCCCGCTCTGAAGAGCCTATCTTTGAGGCACCTCTAGTGATCCGTGCCCTGCCATTCCATACCTTAAAGCCCACTCTGGAGAGTCCTCTGGCGATCTCCTTTGCGAGGTTGCCACCGCTCTCGTCCATTATAATCACCTGCGTGTCCTTCTGCTTACAGTCACACCCAATACAAGCGCAGGGAGTGGAGAGACCGGGAGCAGGAGGAGAGGGGGAAATGCAGAAGAAAGCATGAAGCGAACCGCACAGTTAAATGTCACCAACGTGTTGTCTGTTCAACTTTAGAAGCGAGGGTGTTGGTTGAGCTATGGTTTATCATATCACTAGCCTAACCAACTTGCCATCACAGAGGGATTGATCCATGACCTTTTCAATGCGTGGGCAATTTTGATAGCTGACCGGCCGTCCGCCATAATGCCAAGTTCCATGTGTATCTTCCCGATAAGATGTGTCGACCACCGGGAGCTTACCTGCACGCTCTTATTGCAGTTAACGAAACGTGCTTATAAGGGGAGCTCACCTGCACCCACTTGACGCCCTTGATCTTAGCCGCCATGAGTTGCAAATTCAATTTCCGAGTGAGATTAATAATCAGCCCACCTGCACGCCCTTGACATCCTTAACGAGTTGCGCTTATAAAGGGAGCTCACCTGCACGCCTCTCACGCCCTTGATCTTAGCCGCCATGAGCTGCAGGTCCACCACGTCTGGGCTGCGCACCTGTCCCCTCAGAGGGCCGTCCAGCTGCGAGGTGGAGGGGGGAAGGGTGGTGAGGGGTGGTTTGAGTGGGTTGTGAGTCGACTCAAAACAGATCCACCACGTCTGGATTGCGCACCTGTCCCCTCAGGGGTCCGTCCAGCTTCAGGGAGAGGGGGGAGTGGGGAGGAGTGGGCGGGACGTGGGAGAGGGATGGCAAGAGTGGGTTGTGAGTCGATCCAGAACAGATCCACCACGTCTGGGCTGCGCACCTGTCCCCTCAGAGGGCCGTCCAGCTGCGAGGTGGGGGGGGTAAGGGTGGTGAGGGGTGGTTTGAGTGGGTTGTGAGTCGACTCAAAACAGATCCACCACGTCTGGATTGCGCACCTGTCCCCTCAGGGGTCCGTCCAGCTTCAGGGAGAGGGGGGAGTGGGGAGGAGTGGGCGGGACGTGGGAGAGCGATGGCAAGAGTGGGTTGTGAGTCGATCCAGAACAGATCCACCACGTCTGGGCTGCGCACCTGTCCGCTCAGAGGGCCGTCCAGCTGCGAGGTGGGGGGGGAAAGGGTGGTGAGGGGTGGTGAGGGGTGGTTTGATTGGGTTTAGAGTTGACTCAAAACAGATCCACCACGTCTGGGTTGCGCACCTGCCCCCTCAGGGGTCCGTCCAGCTGCAAAGGGTAGAAAACGCGGAGGAGAACACAAGGGAGGAGGGCATAGGGCATGAGAGGCCTTGGGATAGGGCGTCAACTCATCAGCGAAACTGCATCCACCGTACCCCTCAGCATCCCAGCAGGATAAGTTGTGCACCGTTCAGCCGCAGTGTCTAGCAGGGTCAGAAGCACACCACTGAGACCCGATAATATGTAACAGAGCCACACCTTGCAGGGCAGGCGGCGCACCTTTTCGAACTTGACGCTGCAGTCCTTGAAGCGCGCCCCCCTGCGAAGGTCCGGGATGCCGTTCTCGTCCCTCAGAAACTGCAGCACAGAGGAGGGGGGAGAGGGGAGTTGGGGGAGATGGGGGAGGTGAGGCGCGAGGGAGAGGGGATTTATGAGTCAACTCTAAAACTCTTGAAGCGCGCCCCCCTGCAAAGGTCAGGAATGCCATTCTCGTCCCTCAGACAGACGGGAGGTGAGAGCGAGCAGGGTCTAGGAGGGGAACGTCAAGACACGAGAGCACGGGGCATGCGGCATGGGGAGCATATGCCATGTGACAAGGGGCATGGGGTGTGGGGCATGAGGTATGTATGGGGCATGGGACATGTATGGGGCGTGGGACATGTATGGGGCATGGGACATGTATGGGGCGTGGGGCATGGGGTATGGGGTGTGGGACATGGGTCACGGGACACGGGGCACGGGCATGGGGCATATGACATAGGACATGGGACATGGGCCGTGGGGCATGGGGTATGCATGTCGGCATGGGGTATGCATGTCGGCATGGGGTATGCATGTCGGCATGGGGTATGCATGTCGGCATGGGGCATGCATGTCGGCATGGGGTATGCATGTCGGCATGGGGTATGCATGTCGGCATGGGGTATGCATGTCGGCATGGGGTATGCATGTCGGCATGGGGTATGCATGTCGGCATGGGGTATGCATGTCGGCATGGGGTATGCATGTCGGCATGGGGTATGCATGTCGGCATGGGGTATGCATGTCGGCATGGGGTATGCATGTCGGCATGGGGTATGCATGTCGGCATGGGGTATGCATGTCGGCATGGGGTATGCATGTCGGCATGGGGTATGCATGTCGGCATGGGGTATGCATGTCGGCATGGGGTATGCATGTCGGCATGGGGTATGCATGTCGGCATGGGGTATGCATGTCGGCATGGGGTATGCATGTCGGCATGGGGTATGCATGTCGGCATGGGGTATGCATGTCGGCATGGGGTATGCATGTCGGCATGGGGTATGCATGTCGGCATGGGGTATGCATGTCGGCATGGGGTATGCATGTCGGCATGGGGTATGCATGTCGGCATGGGGTATGCATGTCGGCATGGGGTATGCATGTCGGCATGGGGTATGCATGTCGGCATGGGGTATGCATGTCGGCATGGGGTATGCATGTCGGCATGGGGTATGCATGTCGGCATGGGGTATGCATGTCGGCATGGGGTATGCATGTCGGCATGGGGTATGCATGTCGGCATGGGGTATGCATGTCGGCATGGGGTATGCATGTCGGCATGGGGTATGCATGTCGGCATGGGGTATGCATGTCGGCATGGGGTATGCATGTCGGCATGGGGTATGCATGTCGGCATGGGGTATGCATGTCGGCATGGGGTATGCATGTCGGCATGGGGTATGCATGTCGGCATGGGGTATGCATGTCGGCATGGGGTATGCATGTCGGCATGGGGTATGCATGTCGGCATGGGGTATGCATGTCGGCATGGGGTATGCATGTCGGCATGGGGTATGCATGTCGGCATGGGGTATGCATGTCGGCATGGGGTATGCATGTCGGCATGGGGTATGCATGTCGGCATGGGGTATGCATGTCGGCATGGGGTATGCATGTCGGCATGGGGTATGCATGTCGGCATGGGGTATGCATGTCGGCATGGGGTATGCATGTCGGCATGGGGTATGCATGTCGGCATGGGGTATGCATGTCGGCATGGGGTATGCATGTCGGCATGGGGTATGCATGTCGGCATGGGGTATGCATGTCGGCATGGGGTATGCATGTCGGCATGGGGTATGCATGTCGGCATGGGGTATGCATGTCGGCATGGGGTATGCATGTCGGCATGGGGTATGCATGTCGGCATGGGGTATGCATGTCGGCATGGGGTATGCATGTCGGCATGGGGTATGCATGTCGGCATGGGGTATGCATGTCGGCATGGGGTATGCATGTCGGCATGGGGTATGCATGTCGGCATGGGGTATGCATGTCGGCATGGGGTATGCATGTCGGCATGGGGTATGCATGTCGGCATGGGGTATGCATGTCGGCATGGGGTATGCATGTCGGCATGGGTATATGCATGTCGGCATGGGGTATGCATGTCGGCATGGGGTATGCATGTCGGCATGGGGTATGCATGTCGGCATGGGGTATGCATGTCGGCATGGGGTATGCATGTCGGCATGGGGTATGCATGTCGGCATGGGGTATGCATGTCGGCATGGGGTATGCATGTCGGCATGGGGTATGCATGTCGGCATGGGGTATGCATGTCGGCATGGGGTATGCATGTCGGCATGGGGTATGCATGTCGGCATGGGGTATGCATGTCGGCATGGGGTATGCATGTCGGCATGGGGTATGCATGTCGGCATGGGGTATGCATGTCGGCATGGGGTATGCATGTCGGCATGGGGTATGCATGTCGGCATGGGGTATGCATGTCGGCATGGGGTATGCATGTCGGCATGGGGTATGCATGTCGGCATGGGGTATGTATGGGGCATCACACTCACCTCAGGGCGGATGTCAACGAGCACGGCCTTGCTCTCCTTGAGCACCTCCAGTGCCTCCTCCGCTGACAGGTTGCCCGAATACCCCCCGTACGCCGCCCTCCAGTAAGCCACTCTGACAAGCGGGGAGGAGCAAGGGTGGGTGAGGCGCGGAAGGAGGCAGGCACAAGGGATGTGGGGAGAGACGGAGGCTGGTTGCGTGAGCACCCACCATACACCGCCCCCCCGTATGCCACTCTCATGGGGGGTTGGGGGGGTGAATAGCAGGGGCCGGGAGAGGTGAGGGGAGAGACGGAGGCAGGGAAAGGACGAAAAGGGCGAGAGAGAGGGGAGGAAATGGAACAGGGAGGAACTGGGAAGGGGAGAGGAAAAGGAGTAGAGAGCTATGGTGAGTTGCGCTGAAGGCGAGACCGGTATTTAGTGAGACACAGAGTGGCATCAAGGGGTAAATGCAGAGACGGCACAGCACAGCACAACACAGCATCACACAGCACAGCACAACACAGCACAGCACAGCACAGCACAGCACAGCACAGCACAGCACAGCACAGCACAGCACAGCACAGCACAGCACAGCACAGCACAGCACAGCACTGCATGCTTACCCGAGCAGCAGCGAGGCGGTGGCGATGAGAGTGGCGGCCACGACTGTGTCGTTCGCATCATAGAGTTTACACAACACAGCGCGGCCCAGCATGGCACGGCAGAGCACCGCACCGCACCGCACAGCACTGCATAATATGCTTACCCGAGCAGCAGTGTGCCAGTGGTGATGAGAGTGGCGGCCACGACTGTGTCGTCCGCATCAAAGCCCGCCGCCCCAAACGCTGCCTTCACCGCCGCTGCTGATAGCACCGCCACCTGGGGACGGGGCGAGATATAGCGCGAGGGGAGGGGGTGGCAGAGGAGGTGGGGAGGGGGAAGAGAGTGTGATGGAGCGAGCCTACTCACCTACTTCACCTGTACGTCTTGGCTCTCACTCGCACACGTGGCGCTCTAGACCAAACCTGCCTCTCCCCTCACCTGCGCGGCCACTTCCTTGGTGAGCCCGCTAGCGGCGTCCCACAACGACGCCAAGCTCGCCTCCACCTTCTCCACCAGCGGCAGCGGCAGCGGTGGCAGGGCGCCAATCTACCCGTTGATCTACAACCGCCACTTCTCACGCCTACTCGCCGTCTCACCTGCGCGGCCACCTCGATCAGTCCGCTCGAGGCATCCCACAGCGACGCCAGGTTCGCCCACACTTTCTCCAACAGCGGCAGCGGTGGCAGGGCGCCACTCCGCCACCCTTACTACTCGCGCTCGTGAACCCCTGGTCCACACCCGGCAGTACTCGCGCTCGTGAACCCCTGATCCACACCCGGCACTACTCGCGCTCGTGAACCCCTGATCCACACCCGGCACTACTCGCGCTCGTGAACCCCTGATCCACACCCGGCACTGCTCGCCCGTCTCACCTGCCATGCTCTATCCTCACCTGCCATGCTCTATCCTCACCTGCCATGCTCTATCCTCACCTGCCATGCTCTATCCTCACCTGCCATGCTCTATCCTCACCTGCCATGCTCTATCCTCACCTGCCATGCTCTATCCTCACCTGCCATGCTCTATCCTCACCTGCCATGCTCTATCCTCACCTGCCATGCTCTATCCTCATCTGCCATGCTCTATCCTCACCTGCCATGCTCTATCCTCACCTGCCATGCTCTATCCTCACCTGCCATGCTCTATCCTCACCTGCCATGCTCTATCCTCACCTGCCATGCTCTATCCTCACCTGCACCGCCACCTCCTTAGTCAGACCGCTCGTGGCATCCCACAGAGAAGCGAGGTTCGCCTCCACCTTCTCCACCAGCGGCAGCGCGTCCGCGGGCACGCTCTCGCGGAGCGCCGAGTACGCCGCCAGATACTCCCGCACAGCCACTGCCGCCGCCATCTACACCCGCCACTACTCTCTCACTTGCACCGGCAGTGCACCTTTTTGGTCAGCCCGCAAGCAGCGCACCCTTCTCACTCGCACACGTGCCTCTGTGGGACAGACCCGCCTCTCCTTACCTGCACCGCCACCTCTTTCGTAAGTCCGCTAGCAGCGTCCCACAGCGAAGCGAGGTTGGCCTCCACCTTCTCCACCAGCGGCAGCGCGTCCGCAGGCACGCTCTCGCGCAGCGCCGAGTACACCGCCAGGTACTCCCGCTGCGCCACCGCCGCCGCCGCTGCCGCCGAGTCCGCAACCGACGCGGTCGCCGCCGCTACCGCGTTTTCCACAGGCTCGGAGATCGCCCGAGGCACGGTTAGCTTCGGCACGGGGAGGCCCGAGGGGGAGGGGAGGCTCGGGATGGGAAAGGATGGAAGCGGGATTTCGGGCAGGTTGAACTCTGGGGTGGGGAAGTCGGGCAGCTTGAAGTCGGTTTTAGGGAGAGGGAGCTCGGACGAATCGGGCAGTTTGAATTCTGGCTTGGCAAATTCGGGCAGGGAGAAGGAAGGCGCCTTCAGGTCTGAAAGGTTTTCGGGTAGGGAAAACTCGGGTTTCTTGAACTCGGGCAGAGCAAGGTCGGGCTTCTTAAAATCGGGCAGCGCAAAGTCCGGCTTCTTAAATTCGGGCAGGGAAAATTGGGGCAGGCTAAATTCTCGATTCTGGAAGTCTGGTATGCTAAACTCGGGCTTCTTAAACTCAGGCAAGCTAAACTCAAAATCAGGCTTCTTAAACTCGGGCATAGTAAACTCGGGCTTCTTAAATTCGGGCATGCTGAATCCTGGTTTCTCAAACGAAGGGGCGACATCCCTGGTGGGATACGAGAACTTGGGCAGGTCGGGCAGGTCTGGAAGGGCCGTGCTGGTGGGAAGGTCAAGCACCTCGTCCGGCACTGCGATACTATCGGCAGCCGCAGACACAGCATCTGCTGCAGATGAAACGACATCTGCTGCATCAGCGGCAGCATCAGCAGCAGCGTCAGCAGCTGTGGTGGTTGCAGCGTCAGTGGTGGCAGGAGAGGAGGCGTCCAGGCCCAGGTCTAGGTCGTTGAAACTGAATCCAATGTCCAACCCCTCGCCCCCCGCGACTGTCGCCGTCGCATCTGCGATGGTGGCGACGGCATCGGGTGTGGCGAGCTGCGAGAGCGACGGCTCGGTCGAGTCCGAGGCGAGGGCTGCCGCTACGGGGATGAGCGCTGATGGGAAAACGATGTGGGAAGGGGGGGAGGGGAGGGGAGGGGAGGGGGAGGTTACGGAGAGAAGCAGAACAAGAGGAAATAGGGTAGGGATGAGACATAGGGGCGACAAAGAGAGGAGGTAAGGGTCGAGACAGGAGCCTTTGGAAGGTAAGAACGGGAGGGGATGGTGCTCTTCGGAGATGGTGTTGTGCAGAGGAAGGTTACTGCTCAGTTGGGAAGTGTTGAGTGGTGGTGAATGCTGGTTCGACGACTTTCGCTCCAAATTGATAAATCAATACATTTATGGCGTGCTACCAAATTGCCGCCAAAATTTTCATCACTGCCGTCGCTGTTCGGTGCATTCACCCACTATCTGCCCCAGGAGCTTCCAAGCCATCAGTAGTCACCAATAAATATCACACGGATGGCAACCAATGTAGGTTTCAATGTGAAACCAGTAGACTCTAGTAATCTCTGAAAGCCTATTTGAGGTTCCATTGCGTTCGTTTGGGGTTCAAGTGGCAGCGCTCTTACAGGTGCTGGATGCGGCTGCTGCGGAAGAAGCGGCGAATCTTCCGGACCTGCTTCTACCGTCGGCTCGAGCGCGAATGGTGCACACCGCAAGCCTCGTATGGCATGTCGGAGCCGGACCGGCCGAGCTCTTCGCAGCGATCTGAAGCAGTGATAGTGGGGATAATTTTGGAGTGAGACAATGTTAATCAGTTCGCCAGAAATTTATCCCGACAATGAAGTGTGTAAGTGAATGAAAGTGAATTGATGATCAATGCTCACCCGTGGCTCCGGGCGGATGCTTCCCCGTAAAAGGCTCGACAGGCCAGATGATTGCACTGTCGCCATGACGTGACAAGCCTAACAACCTTGTGAGTGCCCGAATTCGCTCCCTCGGTCCGTCAAACTGCTGATGCTGCCTTGTGAAGAGAGAGCAGAGCTAGTTTGCGAACTCCGTACAATGCCCCTCATAACATGATAAGAAGTGGTGATGGAAATTAGATTTGAAGGAAATGTTCAGAACAGTCGAATGTGTCTCTAGTCTGCATTTGTGACGGTAACGTATTCAGAGAGTCGGTTATGCTTGGGCGTGGTTGAGAAGTCATTGCATCTGTTGTAGGAATTTCAAGTTACGGGTTGGAAGCTGAAACCCAGAGAGTAGAAGCGTGAATACGACCCGAAGCTGATGTGGCGCAATCGCTAACCGCCTGGCTCTGCGAACAAGGGAGAGGGAAGCACGGGGAGATCGAGGCATCGATTTGAAGGGTGGGAGATGCGTCAAACCGGCTGTGTAAGTTGACGTGGAGACCATCCGTTGCTCCCGAATCAGAAGGATCCATTGAGTTCACCTGTGCCATCCTGGAGCCCCGGCATCATTTGAAGGTGTCTGTGTGGCCACAGATGGGCTCCCAAATTCAGGACAAGATCTCCCTCCTGTCCCAGAATCTTCAGTAAAGCATCACCTGATACTACTATCTAAGCGCCAGAGTCACCAACCTAACTCGCAGCTTAATATATTAGTTATCATTGAGAGACTTCTTAGTTTAGGTTAGGTGTATCATTTGAGTGATTTTTTCATTGTTCTTATTCCATAATTACACACTTGAAAAACATATATAAACCTAACACTATAAACAAAAGTAATAATCTGTCCATATATTTTGCCCATAGTATCTTGATAGTTTACACCTTGCTTCCCATGTTACAAGCTTTCACATATTCAAAATCTGTTCAAACCGCTGCGTCTCCCAACTCCCAAACCGAGTCCCTTTTCTTCCTGTTATCACTTTGTATCTCCAAGCCTTTATTTTGAAATGGCGGCGAAAATAGCTGCCATATAGGGTGCTGAGCGTGGGAAGATACAGCTCTATTGCTGTAGTAATGTATGCGTTTATTTTCCAGAGCGAACGACGTGAAGATGAGTGTAAGGAATTTTCCGGATTCCTTACTGGGTCACACTGTAAGCGTACAACCCCGACTTTCGGAAAACCAGGCTCGGCCCGCCGACCTCGCCTTCCGAGCCACCACCGCGTTGCTTTCGGGTTTTCCAACCCCGAACCTGCACCCAACCATCTCGCGACCCCGCGACCTCGGCCTAGCTAGCCTTGCTATATTGTGCCTAGGCCTCGTTGTTCATTCAGACGTTGTAATCACTTCCGCATTATTGAGTTCTGCGCACTCTTTCCTTTCACAACTTATAACACTTGGTATCAGAGCCTAAAGTCCTAGGTTACCCTCGCGTTTCCAGGGTAGTTTGTAGAAGGGGAGCGATAGACTTGGTGGGCTGTTAAGCGGTCGGCCCGTGGAATAGATCTGATTATTCCACTCCGACTACGATAGCATTAACGCCTTCACCGAAGTCAGAAAAATCGCGAGCCACCCCCTGCCCGTTCGACGAAGCCTGAGGCACATGGAGCAGGCCGAGTTCAACGAGTTCATGCAACAGTTCCGTGCGATGCAGGCCAACTTGCAGGGTATGACTGCAGAGATGGAGCGTCTACGGAAGGAAAACGCCGAACTACACCAGGCGTGCGGTGAAGCGCGCCAGGAGTCGCCTGTCGTGGACGACGCAAGTAGCAGCACTACACCAGATGAGCGGGTCTGGAGCGAGCTGGAAGGCGAGATGGATGCGGACGAAGCGAGGCAGGCGCAGCAGGAACAGTCGCCACAACAATCGCGTGCAGTACCACCACGTGCAGCAGCGACGACGACGGCGACGCCAGCAGCAATGCCAATGGCCCCGATGGCAGCAACGGCTTTTGTGAAAATCAAGCCGACAAACCCGCCCCCATTTAACCCGAGTGACAAGTTTGTCACTGTTTCCGCATGGTTATTCGGTGTGGAGGTGTTCTTTAATGCTGCTATGATTTATGACGACGCCACCCGCATTAATTTCGCAGTTTCACTGTTGCGAGGACCTGCGCTGGAGTGGTGGAGGCGAACGCTGCAACACGAAGGCAGGGATAGCACGTGCGAACGACGGGACTTCAACACCTGTCACGCATCAGGCAACATCGATTTTCGGGACGGCCACGATACGCACATGGAAGGAGTGGGGCGCCGCCTTACGAACCAGATTCGAGCACGTATCCGCCTCGGACTCTGCTCGCATGCAACTGCGTACCTGGAAGCAGCTGACTTCAGTCCAAGACTACACCAGCAAATTCCACAACTTGGCGGACCAGGTGGACGACATGAGCGACGCGGAGCGGTTGGATCGCTACGTGGCGGGCCTGAAATACGAGATACAGTACGAGGTCCGACGAACCCGGCCACGCAGCTTCAACGACGCCGTCCGGGAAGCCGAGTCAACGGATGCGCTGATGCAGTGGGCGAGATCGAGCTCCCGGGAGGGCCCTCGATTTCGTGGACCGACTCAGCAGCCCACGATCAACGGCGTGGATGCACCTAGCCGAGCCCTTGGGCCGTGCTTTTTATGCAACCAGCTGGGCCACCTGAAAAAAGACTGCCCGAGGCTTAAGCAGGGGAAGAAGAACGACGGAGAAGGGTCGGGAAAAGATACGAGTCAGTAGCAGACGGGCCACCTACTGACGAGACCCTGTCGCCCGACAATCACCATCCACACCGGGTCGTGGTACCGATCAGCGCTATCGACCAGAACCGGACGAATAACGTGGGTGAACACGTGGACTACCCTGTGCTGGTGGTAGGGAGGGTTAACGGTTATAAAATTAAAATCTTCGTTGACGGTGGGGCGAGCCACAGTCTCGTCAACCTGGCAACGGCCAAAAAAATAGGGGTGAAGTTGACCAGGTGTCTGCCAGAGATCGATGCAAGGTTGGTGGACGGGACACCGCTGGCCATCCGAGATGAGGCGCGAAGAATTCGGATACAGTGCGGCGACAAATTCGGGTTTGGCATGAGGATGTTGGCGACGACGACACAGTGGCGGCTCAGTCAACCAGAACTCGCCGAGTTGCGGGCCCAGCTGGATTACCTGCTCGCCAAGGGATTTATCCGGCCCAGCACGTCGCCGTATGCAGCACCGATACTATTCACGCCGAAGAAGGACGGTGGCCTACGCATGTGCATTGATTATCGGGCGCTGAATCGGGTCACGATAAAGTCGCGTTACCCGATCCCGCGAACCGACGATCTGGTGGATCAACTTCGCGGAGCTCGATATTTTTCGAAAATCGACCTGCGAGGAGGCTACCACCAAATTCGCGTATTCGCCGACGACTGCCCGAAGACCGCTTTCCGCACACGCTACGGCAGTTACGAGTTCACAGTGATGCCGTTCGGCCTGACAAACGCGCCCTCGACGTTCCAGCTCACCATGAATGGAATTTTTCGGGACATGCTGGACAAGAAGGTCATCGTGTACCTGGACGATATACTGGTGTACAGCGCGACAAAAGAGGACCATCTGCGGGATTTAGAGGAGGTGTTCCGGCGTTTACAGGGGCATCGGCTAATTACAAAAGGGTCTAAGTGTGAGTTCCTGAAGCCGGAATTAGAGTTTTTGGGGCATGTGGTTTCTGGCGAAGGGATTAAAATCGACCCGCGTAAGGTGGACGCCATCGTTCAGTGGAAGCCGCCTACTAATATCCCTGAGTTGCAAAGTTTTCTGGGGTTTGTTAACTACGTTCGTCGTTTTGTACCCAATATGGCAGGGATAACCAAGCCGCTGACCGACCTGCTGCACCACGACAGCGATTTCAGGTGGGGGGAGAGGGAGCAATCCGCCTTCGACGCCCTCAAAAACATTTTGGGTTCACCCCCGTTACTCCGCCTCGCCGATCCATCTCGACCGTTCGAAGTCGTCACGGACGCCAGCGATTTCGCCGTCGGCGCCGTCCTGCTACAGGACTTCGGCCAAGGGCTGCAACCCATCGCCTACGAGTCACGCAAGATGCAGCCACCTGAGCGCAACTACCCAGTCCACGACAAAGAAATGCTGGCCATCGTCCATGCATTTCGCGTCTGGCGCTGCTACCTCACAGGAGCCGACGTGACGATTCGGACCGACCATAAATCACTACAGTACATGCGCACGCAACCGACACTCAACCCGCGACAAATCCGGTGGTTGGACTTCCTCGAATCCAATTTTCGGTACACCATCACGTACAAAAAGGGCGCCAACAACATCGCCGACGCCCTTACCCGACCATCCATGCAAAACGCGGCAGTACTAATCGCCCACACCAACCCGATGCTAACAGGACTATTCACCCACGGCTACAAGATCGACAGGTTTTTTCGGAACCCGCAACAACAGGCTGCTACACTGCACGGCAAATACTACCTAAAAACCGGTACGAACCGGATTTGGGTACCAGCATACCAGCCTTTACGGGAGCTGCTAACGCAGGAGGTTCACGACTCCAACCTCTCCGGGCATTTCGGCACCGACAAGACACTGAAGCTGCTGTAGCGGAATTATTACTGGCCGGACATGCAGACCGATGTGCAGCGCTACGTGTCAACTTGCCCGACCTGCCAAGCAATGAAGTCGTCGCGACAAAGGCCAGCCGGACTGCTGCAACCCCTCGCGCCACCCGAACGACCGTGGCAACAGGTGACGATGGATTTCGTCACGGGGCTCCCAGCTGGCACAAGTGGCAACGACTTGGTGTTGGTCGTCGTCGATCGCCTAACGAAGATGGCGCATTTCGCCCCATGCCGAACGACGATCACAGCCGAAGATACAGCCAAACTGTTCATCTCCACCGTCGTACGCCTACACGGGTTACCTTCGGCGATCATCAGCGATCGTGATCCAAAATTTACGTCGAAGTTCTGGCAGGAAACGTGGGCACAGTACGGTACCCGCCTGCAGTTTTCGTCGTCATACCACTGTCAGTAGATCTGCACTGTGGATGCCCGATTGATCCTAGGGGGGTTACAGGCGCGTTCGCCTGGGGGGTTATGGGCGCACTCTGACCCGCTACTTAACAAGCCCTTTTATCCCAGTGGTCTAGTGACTGGGATTCTGACATGGTATCAGAGCGAAGGTCTCGGGTTCGAATCCCAGCGTGTGCACTTCGGGCATCCCAGTGCGGGGGGGTGTCAGAGGTCCACTGGTGATCCCCGATTGATCCTAGGGAAGGGTTACAGGCTCGTTGTCCTGGGGGGTTATGGGCGCACTGACCCGCTACTTAACAAGCCCTTCTATCCCAATGGTCTAGTGACTGGGATTCTGACATGGTGTCAGAAAGGTCTCGGGTTCGAATCCCGGTGTATGCACATGTAGGCCGTTGCCGCTGTGCTCAGTCCTGGGCCTCCCAGTGTGGGGGGGTGTCAGTAGATCTGCACTGTGGATGCCCGATTGATCCTAGGGGGGTTATAGGCGCGTTCGCCTGAGGGGTTATGGGCGCACTCTGACCCGCTACTTAACAAGCTCTTTTATCCCAGTGGTCTAGTGACTGGGATTCTGACAACCACCCGCAAACCGACGAACAGACGGAACGGACAAATCAGACCATGGAACAGCTGATTCGCACCAACTGCCCCGACATTCGCAAGTGGGAAGATTCGCTGCCGATGCTGGAATTCGCGTACAACAACGCCCCGTCGGCCACGACTAAACAATCACCCTTCTTCCTGAATTACGAAATATAGACCCCGTGGTACCCTCTTCAACGACTGTGGACAACCCGGTACCAAGATCGCAGCAGTTTGTCACGGAACTGCAAACCGCCCGAACGAAAGCAGCCGATTTCATTCGCAAGGCTAATACCACGGCCAGTCGCCAGGCGGATAAACACCGACGAAATTTACCCTTCCGCACAGGGCAGGTTGTACTTCTGGACACCAAGAACCTTCGGCTGCCGCAGCCCGCGAGATTACGGCCCCGATACGTGGGACCATTCCGTATCATCCAGATGGTGACACCTGTCACCGCGAAGCTGCTGCTGCCCGACGATTGGAAAATCCATGACGCCTTCCACGTCAGCCTGTTGCGTCATTACGAACAGCCGCAGTCGCCAGCTGTTGCTCGACCAACCATCGCGCCGACCACTCGCCCCGTGGCAGAGCCAACGCTGGAACCTTGGAAGATTCTTAACCATCGCGTGGATGTGACTGCCGCCGGCCGCTCGGTGAAATTACTGCTTCGCTGGAAAGACCGCACGAGCGAGGACGACACGTATGTCGCTGCTGATTCGCTACTGGGACACCCGGTTTTGGACGTTTACCTGGCCCGCCGAGGTGTAAGGAATTTTCCGGATTCCTTACTGGGTCACACTGTACGCGTACAACCCCGACTTTCGGAAAACCAGGCTCGGCCCGCCGACCTCGCCTTCCGAGCCACCACCGCGTCGCTTTCGGGTTTTCCAACCCCGAACCTGCACCCAACCATCTCGCGACCCCGCGACCTCGGCCTAGCTAGCCTTGCTATATTGTGCCTAGGCCTCGTTGTTCATTCAGACGTTGTAATCACTTCCGCATTATTGAGTTCTGCGCACTCTTTCCTTTCACAACTTATAACAATGAGACTGCGGGAAAGACAGCTTTTGCCACTACGAGTAACCCGCTTTAATCGCTCGTCTCCCAGCTCTTCGCAAGTCATCTTGTGAACGCCGTTCATTTTCAATCTTAGCGAACGCCCAGAGCTCATGTTTCGGGAACCTAACTAGCGAGCGCCTAGAGCTCCTAGGGATTCTGTGGTGTACCATCCAAGGGCACAGGAGAAAACGTTGACTGACAGTTAGTCAACCGACCTGCTTCAGCCTGCTCTATTTGTCCTCGTTATAGTCACTGTCGAGACTCAATGGAGCGATGGTCCGCGGACGAGGCGCGCGCGCTGATTGCTCTGCGGGAACGCGTGGAGCGCGAAACGAGTCGCTCGATTAACGCCAAAGCCGGCAACGCCAGTGATGATGACGAGGAGGATGGCGGGGTGGTGGATTTTGGCGGGAAGCGCATGTGGGAGTGGGTCTCGACCGAGATGAAGAAGCAGGGGTATCAGCGATCCATGGTGCAATGCAAGGCCAAGTGGACCGTGCTCTTCAACCGATACAAGGTGACGCGCTGTGCTAATAACGAGTATATTAAGCACTATCCGTGCTTCAACAAGGTGCTCTAAACGAACGCACCTATTTTGTTTCTTTTCACTCCCTCCAGCCCTCCCTCTCCCCTGCCGCCTGCGTATGCCCCATCGCCAGAGCATGGATGGAACCATAGGAGCGGCCGGGCAAGGCACATCGTCGTTCCTCCACGAGCTGGCATGGCGACCATGTGGCAATCTCAATCAATTTCAAGCTTCTGCGGAGCTCGCCGCCACCGTGCTGGCGCATCAGTAGCCAATCTGTTGCAGGTGCTCTTTGAAAAAGGTGCTACTTTGGAGATTCTTCACAAAACCATCTCGCTTGCGCCTTTTCTCTCTTCCCGCGCGCATCCCCTTCCCCCTCCCTGCCCTCCCCGGCCCTCCCCCATCCAGAGAGCATGGAGCTGTCGGAGCGGCAGGGCAAGGCGTGTCCGGTCTTCAATGAGCTCACAGCCATTTTCAAGATCCGCGCAGAGCAGGCCGTGAAGGCACCCCCTCCTCACGTTCCCCTCCCACCGTCCCCCACTCCCCGTCCCCCTTCCCCCCAGAGCATGGAGCTGTCGGAGAGGCAGGGCAAGGCGTGTCCGTTCTTTGACGAGCTGACCGTCATCTTCAAGATCCGCGCCGAGCAGGCTGCTCGAGTGGCCGCCCTGGGCCATGGCGTCGTGGACACCAGACCTGCAGGCTCGGTAGGCGCCGGACCTGCAGGCTCCGCACGGGCTGCTGCGGGAGGTGGTTCGTTGTTTGGCTCGGATGGCTTGTTTGGGATGCAGGGGGAGGACGTGGAGGGGGAGGAAGGCGGGGAGGAGGAGGAAGAGGAGGAAGAAGAGGAGGAGGAGGAGGGCGGGGACGGGGAGGGAGACGATGGGGAGGAGGAATGGGAGGAGGGAGATGCAGCAGGCAAGAAGCGGAAGAGAGGAAGCAAGGGGGGAAAGGCGGGGGGGAGGGGAAGGCGTGGCAGAGCAGGGGCAAGCGCAGCAGGCAGAGGCACAGGGAGGACGCGAGTGGACACGAGGGGGGATGCTGAGAAGGAGGGCTTGCGGAGAAAGCTGGGCGAGGGTTGGCTAGGGATGAAGGTAGATAAGAAGCGGTTGGATAAGATGTGGGAGGTGCAGGGGGAGTTATTGCAGCAGCATGCCCTGCTGGAAGGGCAGTGGGGCGATGAGGGCGAGCGGGTGGAGGAGAGGGGGAAGGAGAGAGGCGAGGCGTGGATTGAGCGGTTGGAGCAGCAGGAGAAGCGACGACTGGCTGAAGATGTGAAATGGCGTGAGGTAGTGATGGGGGGAAGGGGAGGGGTGGGGGTGGGTGTGAGGCTATGAGGATTTGATGAGGTTTTATTGCATAGTGGCTTGATTGTGGATTGAGCGGCTGGAGAAGCAGGAGAAGCGGCGCCTGGCTGAAGATGTGAAGTGGCGTGAGGTACTTATTGGGGTGGGTGTGATGGTGTGGGATTGGTTGAGATCTTATGGCATGGTGGCGTGGGATTTTGATGGCATGGTGGCACATGCACAGGAGCAGCAGGTGAAGAGGCGACTGGCTGAAGATGTCAAATGGCGTGAGGTAGTGGTGGGGGTTGGGTTGGGTGTGAGGCTGTGGGGATGAATCAGATTGAGAGGTTGGAAGAGAAGCGACTGGCTGACGATGTCGGGTGGCGCGAGGTAGTGAGGCGCAGGCGGGATGGAAAGGAGGCGTGGGTTCGTGGGCGCGGTGTGATGATCTGATGAGATGTGATGGTGTGATGGCTTGATTGTGTGATGGCATGGTGGTGTATTTACAGGAGGGCATGAGAACGCATTGGCAGGAGGGTGTGGTGTTGCATGGACCACAGTTACGCTGCGAGGCTGTTGAGAATTGCTGCTGCTTGTTGGTATGATTGGTTTGGCTTGCCATTGATTGCTGCCGCCTTGCTGCTAGTTTCTTCAACCAGGTGTGTTTTTGTGCATGCAATGTCCCCTCGTTTTTTTGGTCCGCAGACTCATGCTTCTTGTTCTGTGCCTGTTGTTGCTGTCGCTCGTGATTGTGTGATGGCATGGCAAAGGAAGTCTTGGATTCGAACTGCAGCATGGCAAGCTTCATAGGTCTCCCTCTGCCAGGAGGAGTGGAGAGCACAGCAAGTGTCACCTGCTAGACATCTATGCCTCAACACACTCCCTTTTCTGTGCCTGTTCTTGTTGCTAACGCTGGTGCTGGCAGGAGGAGGAGCGGAGAGCACAGAAGGCGGAGGCGAGGGAGGTGGAGTGTGACGCCATGCTGCAGGTCCTGCTCGCCCAGCTGCAAGCCCACACTTACCCTACCTTTGTTTGACTAACCTCGCCTTACCTCCTCCACATTCCCTCCACACCCCCGACACACTCGCTCCATGCTTCCTCCACTCTCATGGCCATTACCTGACCTCACCTTACCTCTCCGTCACACTCAAGCTGGGACTTCGTCTCAGGCGGCACTCAAGTGCACTGGTATAGTACTCATGGTTCATCCAATCTCTCAGGGCACCTCCTAATGTAACTAGATTGGAGATAAATACATGGATCTTTTGCAAGTCTATGTACTTCAGGACATCAAACTGTCCATTTGGTACTTGCCCCCGCGGAAGAACGCTTGCATACACTAGCTAGGGCGAAATCTGGAGCCAGGGTTCTGAAATTAGCGCGACTGATGCCCTTCAACTGCATTGCAGTGATATTTTAATACGGTAATTAGTTTCCAATCAGCACCGTTACTGTACATAAACCATAATGGTAATGTTTCCGGCCTCACGCCGAGGCCATGCATGCTCTCATGCCATGCCTCAGCACTGCACGCTTGCATGTGCCTTCAAGCACATGCCTTCAAGCACATGCCTTCAAGCACATGCCTTCAAGCACATCCCTTCACAACAGGCAGCAACAATTTCAGCAGGCAGATAGGCTGGCTGGAACAGAGCTCTCATACCCACACTCCCACACACCTCACAAATAACATAGTACGGTACCTGTCTGTCTGTGTTCTCTTTTCAACAGTGAGGATATTATCAGCATCTCCCTTGATGGACCTTCTCAGTGCATTTCGTGTAGTACCTGCAGTAACACCCGTCATGGCCAAGAGTACCTGTCAGCAACATCTCTGCCTCATAGCACAGTGTTCTTGTCCACAAGTGTACCTGTTTGTAACACCTGTCAAAGCACATACGACTTGCTCACAACAACGGGAAGGGTAAGACACCAAAGAATACTGATACGGGAAACAAAGCAATAGCTTGGAACTGGGGCAAATGGGTTGCCTGGAAATAGGAAAACGATAAAAATGCATCACAATGGCAAAATGCGAAAGCTAAGGTTCGGGATGCCTAAAGATAAATTGCACCGGAGATCACATAAAAACAGATGCATGTGAAATGAGAACTTGAACACTTAGAGTGCGGTGCGGTGAATACCCAAACCACACACAAGGTCCTCAATTGAATGGCAGGTGCATCACAGAAAGAGGAGGGCGATGAAACATATGCACGTGGGGAAGACTGTCGGACCAGCATAACAGCCCTGCTCCAACCAGCTTCATCATCCCAAATACTGGTTGACGTAAAACACTATACGTAGATGAACATGTAGACAAATATCCAACAAAACATCCAGAAACTCTTCATTTCCACCTGGAATCCAAGTATATTCTGTATGTAAAAACAAAATTAGATGCTGGATGTAAGGATTACTGGGAATCACATGGTTGATGAATGAAAACGGGAATCAGATGCTTTATTTACAGACAATTGAAAGCGGATGCTTCATGCATGGAAAGTGGGAATCGGATGCCTGATATATGGGAAACAGGGGAATCCAACGACCGATGCATGGGAAATGAGAATTCGATGAATGAAGCATTGGTAATGGGAATCACATGCCTGATGCATATATGATGGGAACTGGATAATTGATACACGAAAGTAAGAAATCAGGTACTGAATGGAAGGATTACAAGAGAACATATGGTGGGTGAATGGAAAACGGAGATCAGATGTTAGATGGACAGTAAATGGGAACCAAGCGGTTGATGCATGGGAAGATGCCTGGATTATGGAAAATGGAAGAAGCTCGTGCCTGAGCATCGGGAAAAGGAATTAGATGGCCAACTTTTGAAAACCGAAAGGGTGAAATGCATGGGACATTGGAATTCAGAGCCTGGACTCAAGGTCCCTCAGCATTCTCCAGCGACAGGAGCACACTGAAATCAGGCCCAACGACTCTTATGGATATATGAAACTGGAGGTGGACTCATATTCAAAAGATTTGTACTCAACTTTTGGACCCCACTAACTGTTGAACAATGCAGAAGATATATTCACCAAATAGGTTAAAATTCACACATTCATGGATCAAATTTTAACTTATACATAAATATATACAAATTATCCAGCAAATCTTTATTTCCACCTAGGAATCTGGGATAACTGTTTCTGTAAGGCTGCTTGTGCAGCCTGACTTATTTACCCACTTGACCTCCTTGTTCTTCCCTGCGACCCCTTCTGCACTGCCTGCCTTAGGGGTGCCACACGAGCAGCACTCGCACTGGCCGTGGCAGGAGCTGCTGTTAGTTTCACTGCAGCCTTGCAAGCTGCAGCCTTGGCTGCTGGCTTGGGAGCTGCAGCCTTGACTGCAGGCTTGGGAGCTGCAGCCTTGGCTGCTGGCTTGGGAGCTGCAGCCTTGACTGCAGGCTTGGGAGCTGCAGCCTTGGCTGCAGGCTTGGGAGCTGCAGCCTTGACTGCTGGCTTGGGAGCTGCAGCCTTGACTGCAGGCTTGGGAGCTGCAGTCTTGACTGCAGGCTTGGGAGCTGCAGCCTTGACTGCAGGCTTGGGAGCTGCAGCCTTGACTGCAGGCTTGGGAGCTGCAGCCTTGACAGCAGGCTTGGGAGCTGCAGCCTTGACTGCAGGCTTGGGAGCTGCAGCCTTGACTGCAGGCTTGGGAGCTGCAGCCTTGACTGCAGGCTTAGGAGCTGCAGCCTTGACTGCAGGCTTGGGAGCTGCAGCCTTGACTGCTGGCTTGGGAGCTGCAACCATTGCTGCTGGCTTGGAAGCAGCAGCCTTTGCCGCTGGCTTGGAAGCTGCAGCCTTTGATGCTGGCTTGGAAGGTGCTGCAGATGATGCAGCAATAGTAGCAGCAGCATTGGCAGCAGCGGCACTCACAGCAGAAGCAACAGCACCCATAGCTGCAGCAGCAGCCCGGACCACAGCAGGTCTCAGCCGGGAAAAGCCCAGAGGAGCACGAAATTCCCGCTTGCAGCTCGCTTCAACAAACCTGCCAACCCTGTACGCCACAGCAGCTGATGTCATAGGCTTCAGCTTTGGCGACAACAGCAGCCTGTCACCCTCAGTCGGTGTTGTGAAGCACCTGAGGCACCTGAGAGTCTGATCTCTCAGGTAGGCTTCATCAGCTTCCGTCCATTCGGTGATGAATTCAGAGGGGTCCACCTGCGAATTTCCTGTCAGCCATTCGCAGTCACTCTCACTGTCACCAATGCTGAGAACACCAGACCTCAGGTACGTTTCATCCTCAGCCGTCCATTCAGTAGTTATAAACTCACTAGTGTCCACCAAATTGTACTCCGCCAGCAGAAGAAGCGGCAGCAGCTCATCTTCATGATTCCCAGTTGGGCTGCTCTTGACAGAGCCGCTTCTCAACGCACTTTCATCCTCATCCGTCCATTCAGTCAGCCACTCAAAGGGAGTGGAGCTTGCTGGCGAGCAGGCCAACCAGCTCGGAACGTCCCAGATGTATTGTGCAGCGTTGCCAAAGCAAGTGGCAGCAGCAACAGCAACAGCGAGGGCCGATTCAGGGTGAATATAGACCATCGGATGTTAAGTGTGGGAGCTGGAGAGATCCAGCAAGAAGTTTCAACACGGTTTCCAACGAAGACCAAGAGCAGGGGATGAAACGATTGCAAGGGATGTGACTCTAGAAAACTTGGTGTGGCTGAAGAAAATTAGTCGCACTTTCTCAGTTGTACTCACCGTTCTTAGGCCGCACAGCCGATTCGGGCTGGGGTGGCTCAAACTTCGGGATTCCGCCAACACGGGAGCCAGCTTCGGGACCCCGCCAACATGGTAGCCAGCTTCGGGTCCCCGCCAACATTATAGCCAGCTTCGGGACCCCGCCAACATGGTAGCCAGCTTCGGGACCCCGCCAACATGTGCCACCGCGCCAACATGGGTGCCAGCTTCGGAACCGAGACCAACATGTGCCACCGCGCCAACACGGGAGCTAGCTTCGGGACCCCGCCATGTGAGCCCGTTTCGGGACCGCGCTAACATGGGAGCCAGCTTCAGGATCTCGCCAATCTGGGAGCCCTTTTAGGCTCAATCCGTGGTCGTCGGAGCTCTAGGTTCGATAAAACAACTACCAATGGTTGATCCAGCGTGGATCAGCCTTATCGACGGCCACAAAGCAATACGCTCATTCAGAAAAACAACGGTTTCGACTGATCATGACGAATATCCCCTTGCCAGCGCATTCACGTGGATGACGCAAAACGGGCTGGCGGAGGAGGAAAACGAGCGGCTGGCGTGCAATCGGACGGCAGAAAAAAACTCACACCGACATTACAGCACATGCACAATGATTGCACCGACATCATGGACCCAAACCGCATTTGGCACACCTTCGACGTGAACCCACTCACGATACACGTGGCGAGTCTTATAGGGTTAAGCCACGTGACAGATGGGCCCCTGAGTGCGACAACATACCAGGTCTTTCCGCAGACTAGGGGAGACGAGCCTGGCTGATGGAATCGACAGAAGCTATGCTATTCATGTTACGTCTGATGTTCTACATAAAATCCAGCAGCAAATTTCATCCTGACAGCAGCTCCTAGCCAACTAGAACTGGGTCAGTGAGGGAGCCTGGGCGGCTGTCTAGGAAGTAGCGAGTGGGTAGGGAGGGATGGCGAAATGTGAGATCCAGCTGCTCACCAAACCCTAGGTGGAATACCCCTTACAGCACAACCAGCTAGAGAAATAGGTTCAAGTTCTCAGAAAGCTTATGATGTCAACTTCAATGTGTATGCTCTTGTCGTACTCATTACCTCCGTTCAACATATCCACATGCACATTTCTTCTCGCTCTCTGATTTGGGATGCATCGTGTTCGGCTATGTTTTTAAAATTGTACAAAGTATTTTGATGGCATCAATAGCCCATGACTAATCAACAATAGCATGTACACAAATCGAAGCCAGTCACACACAACCCGAATCACGTACCGTAACAACAGATTGTCCACACGCAAACGACATATGCTTGTGCTCCAGGTGTGAGACTGTGATTGGGAAACATGGGCCATGTCCCCCCTGTGTAAGATTGCAATGCTGCCAAAAGAGCAAAGGTAATTAACTTTGCTCCCCTAACCCTGACTCAATGTCACACCTGCACCACCAAACAGTAAAACGCTATAGCTACAGTAACCAATCCTACAGGCTGTTATATATAGAAAATATAAACTTATATTTTCTGACATCTGCAAGGTCAGACGTTAGAACTGAGAGAAAGAGGAAGCAGGGTGGAAGCGGTCATGGGGAATGGAGCATCTCACCTCATAGAACACGCTATTGAAGCATGAAATGAGAAGGAGGGGTGGGAATTGAATGGCTGATACTTGAGAGATGCGAGTCAGTCGACTGTGAGATTGGGAATCAGATGCTTGATGCATGAAATTGACAAAGATGCCTGATGCATGAGAAATGAGAAAAGACACATGTGGCCTGAAAAGAAAATCAGAGCCTGATGCATGGGTATTTGGAGTTAACTCTCTAATGCAGGAACAAGATCACTTATGCATGCATAGGAGATGAAAGCCGAATTCCCTTTTGTGTGCTTGAACATCTGAACCCTCACCATTGCTAACCTCTCAGTCACATCTGAACTTCCCTTTGAAGCCACTTGCCGCACCACCACCGATGGGCGTGTCTAGAGTCAGGGGAATATATGTCTAGGCTATGGGTGATGGGTGATGGGTCATGGGTCACCATCCGTGGGTCATCATGTTAGATGGGCATCTGACATCTATACAGTGGAATTTGTAAGATTGACAGGAGACGGGGATTAGATTGCTGATTTATGCAAGATGTGAATCAGAAGCGCAGTGGATGGGAAATGAAAATCACGCATGCATGAAGTAAGAGAATCAGATGCCTTTTGCATGGGCAAAGGGAATACTTGAGGCACAGGAAGTGGAAACCTAGATGGATGCTGTATAGAAGATGAGAATCAGATGCGTGATGGAGCGGAAATGGAAATCAGTCAGACGCCTTATGCATGGAGAATGGAAACTACTGGTCTGGTACATCGGATATAAGCATCAGATCCTTACTGCTTGGGAAATGGGAAGCGAATGCCCGATGCATGGAGAGTAAACATATAGGCCTAGGCATCAGAAACGGGATTCAGATGCTTGATGTATGGGATTTCATGAATCAGATGCCCGATGCATGGGATATGGGAATTGCATGCTTGATGCAAAGAGCACAGGAATAGGTTGGGAGAATAGAACAGGTTCACAAGCATGGAAAGCTGGAATTTCAGATGCATTCTATATGGGAATAGAGAGAAAATCAGATCCTTGATGCATGGAAACTGGGAATATGATACGCGGTGCGTGCGCCAAAAAAATGAAGATTAGATGTGATGCTGCAACGGAAATGAGAATAAGCTGCCATGACACCCTCCCGGCCCAGCATGAGATTCAAGCACTGAGCAGGCTGCTACATATGCCTAAGCACTGCCTGCTGACAACAAAACATCTCAATAGCTCATAGCTGACATCCATCTGCCCTCACCATGCCATAGCAACCCAGCTTTGAGCGTCTCAACTCTTCTACCAGACCTCACATGACCTTCTCCTCCACATCCCCCCTCACCCTCCCCATCGCTAACCTCTTGGCGGTGAACTCCCTCCCCTCTGAAGCCACTTGCTGCACCACCAACGGGGTCATAGGTGGAGGTGGCATCTGGGGCAGGGCTGCCTGGCCTGCTCGCACCAGGAGACCTGTGTCCATCCCCTTGCCATTTCTCTCCCCATCGTGGCTCCAATGGTGCTTCTCCCATTGGGTCTGGCCCAGCAGGTCAAATCGGAGCACCGCTGCCTCTCACCCACGCGGTGCATCCCCTTCACTCTCTCCTTCCCCTCCTAGAGATGTCGAGGCTATGGGTCATGGGTCTTCATGGGTCATGGAGCTATGGGACATGGGTAAAGGAGCATCTGACCTCACACAGTGGAATGGGTAAGATTTACAGAGAATGTGAACTGAATTGCCGATTCATGGGGGATCGATGAGAAGCGCAGTGCATGGGAAATGGAAATCAAATGCCTGGTGTACCTGATACATGAATGATATGCCTGATGCATTGGGAACGGGAGGCGCCTGATGCATGAGAGATGTAAAAAGATGCCTTTGCATGGTAACTGGGATTTACAACCATGATAGATAGGCTTTCGAGATCCTTCATGCATGGGAAACGGGATATCACACGCTTCATGCCGAGGGAATGGGGATCACACACCTGATACTTTGGGAATGGGAATTCAATACCGCATGCGTGAAACCGGGTACTTGATATCGGAAAACAAAAATCACATCCATGCATGAGATATGGAAATCAGATGCCTTTCGCAAGGATAATGGAAATGAGACACTTGAGGCATGGGAAAACGGAAATGAGAGAGATTCTTTATGGGAGATGAAAATCACATGCATGATGGAGGAAAAATGGGAATCAGTCAGACGCCCTATGCATGGAACATGGAAACTACATGCTGGATGCATCACAAATGAGAGTCAGATGCTTATCGCATGGGAAATGGGAAGCAGATGCCTGATGCATGCATGAAGAATGATGACGAGATGCCTGATGCATGCGGAGATAATATTAGAGGACTAAGCATTGGAAACGGGATTAACATGCTTTTCGAATCAGATGCCTGATGCATGAGAACTGGGAATCGCATGCTTGATGCACAGGCAGTACGAATAAGATGGGAGAACAAAGTCAGGTGTGGATGCAGGTGTGGGAATTTCAGATGCGAAATTCATGGGAATTGGAGATCAAATCCCTGATGCACGGAAACCGGTAACATGATACCCGATGCGCAACGGATTTGAGAATCAGGTGCCTGGTGTATGGGAAACGATATTGAGGCGCCTAAGCATAAGAAATGGGATTCATATGTTTGTTGGGAACGGATTTGAGAATCAGATGCGTTATGCACAGAGCATGGGGATCACATGTTTGGTGTGCTTAGGAACTGGGAACATATCTGATACTTGACGCCATGGGAAATGGGATCACATGCCTGATGCAAGAGAATCGGGTATGAAACGCTTGAATGGGGAATGGGAGTCAGATGCGTGATGCAGGGGACGTACCAATTGCCTGATCCACTGAATTATCAAGAATGTCCTATAAGGGGGACTGTGGGAACCAGGTACCTGATGCATGAGAAGATGAGATCCAGATGCCTCATGAATGAGATATGGAAATAGGCACCTGTTGCTAGGATGGTCATCACAGCATTCCTTGGCACCACCCTTGTTCAGACACATCCCTCTCACACGCACACCCCCCTCACGTCACACCCCCCTCACCTCACATAGTACCTGTCTGTGCCATGGATTTTCAAGAATGAAGGAATTGTCAACATCTCAGATATGCCTTTTCCTCAGTGAATGTAGTACCAGCAGTAACGCCTCATAGCCAAGAGTAATACATGTGAGCAACGCCCCTGCCTCATGTCACGGTGTACCTGCCAGCAACACCCCTTACAGCAGAGAGTGGAACCCAGTTTTTATCCCTTAATAC